CCGGCGGAAAATCCGCGGATCCTCAAGAATCTCGTCGTGACGCCGTCAGCCGCTTTCGATGGCTGAGCTCGGCGCTCGCTCTGCTCTGCTCTTGCTCTCTCCTGCTTACTCGTTGTTCAGCTCGCACCAGATGGCTTCTCTTCCGCCTGATCGCCTCGACGCTGCCGATGTTCTCGCAGCTGTCGTTCGAATCCACCACTCACTCATCCACTTCGACCACGCCTTCGTAGGTACGTGTCGCGCACTGCTCAGATGCCCATGAACCATCCTCGACGTATTCTATGCAGGATTGGCCGGTACGATTGTCCGCTTGACGCATACCTTCCAGCGCACCGAGAGGATCCGGAACTTCTTCGAGCGCGACGACTTCCTCAAGATGAGCTGGCTTGCGTCAAACCAGGTGCGCAGATTTCTTCATCCCCTCGGCAGAAGTTTACCTCGTACCCTCCTGCAGCGTCTGCTCGTCCACGTTCGCCCTCACCAGTTCGCACAGGCTTGTCAAACCGTGCGGGCTGTGCCGACACAAGAGACTGGGCCTGGGACAGCGGTACAAACTCCCTCTCGACCCGCCGTCACTTCCGAAACCGGGGCTGACGCCGTGTTGTGCGCAGACTTTCGCTGTCGACATCGCATCACAACACGAAACCCGTCCCCGCACTGTCCAATTCATCCTCGCCCAGCAGGTCGACCCGCCAATACCCTCAAGTGGCGTTTGGCGCCGAGAGAGCTGCACAATCGAGTCGGAGGCCGACGGACACAACGAGCTGTTCATCCCGACCGAACTTGCCGTCACGGCGACACTTCGGCGTCTCCAGCCTGTTTTCGACTGTCCAGCGTACGGGAGATCGCAAGGCTTCACCGAGAACCACCCACCTCCTCTGCCTCATGATCTTTTGGCACTCCACGCCGAATGTCAGGTTCAGCTCGCGCTCGACGACCTCCGCTGCTCGAGCGCTGGCTTCTTGAGCCGGACGGCCTGGCAGCGCGACATTTCTCGCTTGATGTCGGCGCACGAATACGCCGAACGTGCCGAACGGCTTCGAGCGATACTCGTCGCCTCGACACCCGCCAGAGTTGACGGGGAACAGCCGCTCAACCGTCTCGTCTGGGAAGCGGCAGTCATGGAGGACGAGCTATGCGGTGCGCCAGCTGAGGGCGTCAGTGAAGAGGAGCGGAACCGGTCGGCAAAACGTCAACTCGCGAAACTTGTCCTCGGCTGGAAGGACGTCGTCGAACTGCTGGGCAGGCTCTTCTCGGTAAGCCGTTCGTCCTCTTTCATACAGTGGCCTGACTGACGCACATTTCCTCAGATCCCGTACCCTTCGGCACATGTTCCTATCGCGCGCACCTGAAAGCACCCCTTCCGACTCCCCTTCACTCGCTCATCCCTGCCGCGACATGTTCGTATCCGTGATCAGGCTGCGATGCAGAGACGAGTGGAGCCGCTCGCCGCAGGGTTGGTCGCGACGTGAGAGTCCTGTATTTGACTCGGGACCTTCCCAGCTTCGCGCCGCTCGCTCCGCTGTCTCGCTTCAAAGCCGGCCCACGCCATCTTCGACTAGCTTTATGTCGCTGAGCTCGACTCAGAAGTCCTGCTGCGAGTTGTCTGCGGCCACGCCTCGACGACCTCCTCTTCCTCTTCCGGAGGGTCCGCGGATCTGTCAGGGTGGCCTCGGTGGCTGAAGCTCTTCACTCTCTCCTCTCCACGCTTTCTGCTTACTGGACCCGCCATGGCGTCGCGCGCGGAGGAGCGCACTGACCATGTCGACCTGCTCGGCGCGATCCTTCAGGTCCACAGACTCCTCGCCGGCGTCGAGCATGCGTTCGTCGGTGCGTAAGCGCTCGCTGACCAGTCGCCCCGCCACTTACGCACTCTCTGATAGGTCTCGCGGGCACGATCGTTCGCCTCAGCAAGGTCTTCCAGCAGACGGATCACCTTCAGCACTTTCCTGAGCGCGACAACTTTCTTGAGCGGAGGTGGCTCGTCCCGCAGAAAGTGAGCGGCCAGGCAGCGTCTCTCATCATTGAGCTAACGATGGGCCTCGTTGCAGCACCTGCTCGTGCACGTCAAACCACACGAGTTCACGGCTGCATGTGAAGCTGTCGGCGCTTCGTCGGTTCCCGATGTCGATTCAACACCTGCGGTAGCCCTTTTCTAGCTCAATCCGTCAGCAAGAGCCTCACCTGAGTCCGTCACCACCTGCAGGAATTCACAGTGTCGGTCAGGTCGACGTATGAGGAACACCAGCGCACCGTCACCTTCCGCTTCAACCTCGCAAAGCAGGTCGACCCGCCTATCCGCCGAGACGGGACATGGCCCAGAGATATCTGCGCTATTTACGTTGGGCAGGGTGTGCACGAGCAGAGGCTCGAAGTACCAGCGGAGCGCGCCGTCTACGCAGCAGTTCGACGACTTCGCCCACTCTACGACATTCCGCGCCATGAACTCGCCGCCGGTTTCAATGAGCATGAACCGCCGCCAGTACCCGACGAGCTGCTGGCCTTTCACATAGAATGGCAAGTGCAAATCGCGCTCGACAACCTTGGGCGTTCCGACCTCGGCTTTCTAGACCCTTCTGCGTGGGATCGCGACGTCTCTCGCCTAATGTCAGAGACGCAGTATGCCGAGCGAGCCGAGCGTCTACTTGCGGTGCTTGTTGCATCGCTCCAGCACACACCCGACGGAGACGAACCGACGAACCTCCTTGTCTGGCGTGCGGCTCGGCAAGAGGATTCAGAGACAGGTCTGGTCCAACGCAATGCAAGCGTCAAGCTGCGTCGTCTCGCCCGCCTTGTCGAGGAATGGGAAGCGGTCCTCAAGGTGGTCATGCAGCGGTTTGCGGCAAGTGACCTCCCCTTCTCCTTGATTGGACGCCAACCTGACTGCCTGCATCATTCAGCGTCCGTACCCGTCGCAGCACCACGCTCTTCGTCGGGACTAGGCTGCGCGACTTTGGGCGAGCAAGGAGTTCGCGAGTTTGGGAAGGTTCGCAGTGGTCGTCCTGGAATCGTTGTTCTCCTCTCCGTCCAAGCAGCGTAGAAGCGGTTTGTCAAGAGAATACTGGAACTAGATCAGCTGAAGCGGAGGACTAGCGCAAAAGACGAAGAGCTGGTCTTGAGGATTTTCACCAAGGAAGCGCGGAGAGCTTGAGATGGGGGGCCAACGGCAACGCTTGCGTATAGAGAGCTCGCTCTACGATGCTCCTCCCACTTCGCCCTTCGCGCCCCTCTTCCGCCGCTCATGCACCTTCGCATGCCTCTTCAGCTGATCGCTCCTCGCGAACGACTTGCCGCACCCAGGTTCGGCGCAGGTGTAGCGGCGCTCCGAACCGTGCGTGCGGACATGCTTCGAGAGGTTGGACGATTCGGAGAAGGCGGCGGTACAGCCGGGGTGGGTGCAGACGAAGGGGCGGTCGCCAGAGTGGGTGCCTGTTGAGCGATGGCGAAAAGCGTCAGGGAGCATTCCACCTGTACTTCAAGCTCGACCCAATGCCGTGTGGAGTAAGAGGTGAGCAAAAGAGGCGGGACGACTCACGCTTGTGGATCGTCAATGCCGACGCGAGCGCAAACGACTTGCCGCAACCTGGATGATCGCAGACGTACGGCCGCTCTTGCGTATGCACGCGCATGTGCTGGCAACAAGTATGTCAGCGGGAGAGGTGAAGAACGAGGGCAAGGCGGACGAACCTGCGCGAGCGTGAGCGATTCCGAGAAGGTCTTGCCGCAGACGTCGCAGGCGAAGGGGCGGTCGCCTGCGCCGGAATCACAAGCACGAGTCAGCTCCGCTCATTCCAAGGACCAGGTGAGCAGCTTGTGCGAGCACCGCCCCGCACCGGACCGGAAGAACGGAAGCCAACGCGCAACTCACCCGTATGCATCTGCAAATGCCGCATCACCTTCTGCCTCTGCCTAAACACTCCCTTATCCTCCCTCTCCTCCCTCCTCCTCTCCCACTCGCCGTCCCCCAAGACCTCCGGATCCTCGCCCTCCTCGAAAGCCGCCAAACACGTGCTCCGCTCGCACCCGTCCCATTCGCACGTGTAGCGCGCCTTGCCCGCCCCAACGTGTGCCGTGGAGAGGTGTTCCATCAGGAGGGAGGTGGTGGGGAAGGTGAGGGTGCAGTGGCGCCAGTGACAGGCGTGAGTGTGAAGGGGAGGGGAAGAGGCGGAAGTCGAAGCGAGGGGAGGGGGAGTCGAAGTCGAAGGTGCTGCGTCGACGTCGCTTGGCGGAGAGATGGGCGTGACAGAGACGGACGCTTCGCGGGAAGCAGTGACGGCGATCGAAGGAGGAGGAGAGACGGCGCCGCTCTGACACGCATGAGGCGCCTCGCCGACCCGCAGCTGTCGCTGCTTCTCCCGCTTCGCTGCGACGGCGTGTGCATGCGCTGCGCCGTACGGATGCCGGTGCAGAGCGTGCGGGCGAGGATGGCGATGGAGATGCGTGTGCGAATGAGCGTAGATGTGAGTGTGCTGGAGCGGAAGCGCAGACTGCCCCGTCGATCCGGATGGAGGCGGGAGGGAGCCGGATGAGGCGGGGAGCGCGGAGGTGAGGACCGAGAGAAGTGCCGCCGTGAGCGCATCTGCGTGACCGCCATGACCCGACGCCTGCGCCTGCTGCACGAGCTGCAGCAGCGCGCTCCGCGCCAGACTCGACGCTCCTGCCGACGATGACGGCGCTGTGTCGGTCGGGCTGACGAGGTGTGTACCGAGGACATGCATCGTCAACTCGTCGTGTGAGACGAACGAGAGGGCGCAGTCTCGCCAGCCGCAGCTGAACACAGTGGAAGGGGAGGCGAAGGTCGCGGACCGGTTCGGAGGAGATAATGTCGCAGACGAAGAAGCGGGTGTGGGAGGCTGGAAAGTCGAGCGAAGGAGCTGGTCGAGAGCTGCGGCGGAATCGAGAGCTGAAGGGACAGGGTGTCGATGGGAATGGGCGTGAGAACGGGTATGAGAGGGTTGAGAGGGTTCATGCGAGTCGGCGCAGTGGATGTGCTGCGGAAGTTGCTGATGCTGAAGGTGCGTCGTCGGATCGAAGGTCGAAGGCTGGTCGTGCAAGACGGTGTCGCAGCAGCAACAATTGAGCTGCGAGCGGCAAAGTCAGTGGGTCGTCGCACGGAGGAGGAAATGAACAAGACGCACGATTTCCTGGATCGTCTGCTCATCCAGCCCGTGCAAGAGACTGTCCAAATCCCCCATCTGCTCATCTCCGTTCTTCGCCTGTTCGTGCAGGACCCCCTTTCCCTTCCCATCGGACGCAGCCGTATGTCGCTCCTCGTCGTTCGTCGTGATCAAGCTGAGGCTCTCGACGCAAGTCGGACAATCGTCGGAAACGGGCGCAGGAGGAGGAAGACAAGTCGGGTCGGTACAGCCGGCATGTATCGCTGACGGCGCACAACATGCGTCGACGAGGGGGAGGGCGGCGCATTGGAGGCAGTCGTCGCCGGAGATGGACGTCGAGGAGGAAGAAGGTTGCGCAGAGTCGAGTTGGAGCATCTGGTCCCACGGTACGCCGTCTCCCGCCGTTGCGCTCGGTCCTGCGCTGCCTAGCGTTGCGTGCGCTCCTGCGACCGGCGACAAGCACTCTTCGGCGTCGCAACACCATGCCAGGTGCGACTTTGCAGCTGACGCTGCTGCGCTACCCGTTCCTGACGTCCCCGCCGCGCAGTCCAGGCACTCTTCTGCTACGTTCCAGGCTGCAGGAAATGGCGAGACGAAGGTTGACGAGCCGTGCGAGAAGGAATGGGCGAAAGTCGAGGATGCGGGAAGGCAGGAAGGGTCGGTAGGTGGGCAACAAGCGAAGGTTGGCGGCGGCGGACAGGCTGGACAGGTCTGAAGACAGTCTGTGCAATCTTCTGCGCCTGCTGGAATGGCCGAAGTCGAGGCGATGGGCGTGTGCGAGGCCATTGATGGCGAGGAGGAGAGGGAGGCGATTTCTCGGCAGCGGTCGCTCGAGCCGGCGTGGGAGCGCCGTCCGTTCGCTGATCGTAGAGCTGGAGCCCGTGTAGCGTGTCTGTAGCGCCCCTAAGCGGTGGTAGCAAGTGAGGAGGAGATGTCGCGGGAAGAGGACCCTCTCGGGCGTCTGGTTCCACCTCAACACCTCGTAAAGTGCACGTTTGTCGGGCTGAGTTACCCAAACAAGTACTCACGGATCCAGCAGGACTATCCAAAAAAATCGGCAGGTCGAAGTGAGCGAGTCGTGTGGTCGTCACCTCGCTCGCCGTCGCTCTCACTTGCTCACACACGCTCAAGTCGGCTGGAGAGCAGCTGTGCGGCATGACAGCGACCTCGACGCCCAAGCGGCGGACCAGACGACCCCCGCCAGCGCCAACAAACGTCCTCGTCCTGGTCCTCCCGTCGCTGCTCTTCTCCTCCGACCTCCTCCCGCTCTTCCGCGCACACTTTGCGTCGTACGGGACACTGCACGCATGGACGCCGCTCGAGAAGTTCGGCAGGGTCATCTGCGTGTATGACGACGAGGATGAGGCGCGCAAAGCACGAGACGAGATGGATGGGTTCGTGTGGGAGGAAGACGGCGACGAGGGCTTGCCAAACGGCTACGAGTGAGTAACAGCAGTCCATTTAGCGCGACTAAGCCATCAGCCGGCCCACCTCAGCGTGTTCACCTGGCTTCACTCGACTCTCGAGCTGACCTCGCTTCTCTCGCTCCTTCCCTTCACTCGCGTCATGTAGACCGACCCCGATACGCGCCTACTATGGCCCGACTTTCCCAACAGAACGACTAGCCTACCTTCAAAAGTCGCAAACCACTGCAGCGACGCACCTCGAAGTCCCCTCGTCCGGCAAAAATTTCCTCATCTCGCCGCCTGGGTCGCCGCCTGTCGGGTGGGAACAAATCGAGGAGGACGAGCCGAACCGGAGGGTTTGGCATGAGGGCGAGGAGCCTCGCTCGAGAGGGGGCGAGGTCGACTTTGAGGAGCTGAAAAAGGCGGGAGGGGGAAAGGATGACAAGTGGGCGGATGAGCTGGCAAGGGCGTTGAGGTTCCTCAGTGTTGACAGCGGAGGCGGCGAGGACGAGGCGGACGAGGACGAGGTGTTGGGCGACGCGTCTCCACCGTTCAACGCCGACGAGGACGGTACTCCCTCTACCAAACTCGTTCTCCACCCTGCGCCTATACCGTCCTTCGCCGTCTCTTCCTCATCATCATCACCTGCCGTACGACCAGCCGTTACCATCTCCTCCCCACACGCCAGTTCCTTCCCCTCCTCTTCACCTCACGAATCTCCGGCTTCTCCTACCGGCACTCCTCCGCCGGGCGCAGCCAAGATCTCTTCCGTCAAGGCGACGATCGAGTCGATGCTCGGTCGCAAACGGAGCTTTGGTGACCTGCGCGGCTACGAGGCCGGCTCGAACGGCTTTGGCGCGGCTGTCGAAGGAGGAGGAGCGAGGATCACGCCAACCGCTCGACCGCCTCTCGCTTGACTCGATCCCGTGAGTCTCTCCTCCCTTCATCGCTCGGGAGGTCACGGCGGCGCGCATGACCGCAAGGATGTTCAAACCAAGATTTCTGTTCACCCTAGACCCGGCCTCTTCGGAGGTCGGGCCATGCGGAGAACACTTTTTGTCCTTTGTTCTACTTTACCTGATGCGGAATGGCGCTGTGCGCTTGGACGGGGTGGGCGAGGCGAGGCGAGCAGGGCCTCGAGACGGACGAGCAGCTGTACTGACTACCGCGCTCCTCCGCCCTCACAGATCCTCATCCGACGCCAGCAAGTGCTCGAACGCGACAAGTTTCGTCGCTCATCCCGCAACAGTCAGTATCCCCCTCCTTCCCACTCCTCGCCCTCCTCCCCTCCCCCTCACATGATGTCCAATATTTATTGTCCTCGAACGCTGGCGCTACGACCATCCGGACGTCTTACGGACCCTTTGCGCCTTTCAGGCAACGAGGTTGTGCCGGCTTCGGTTGTGCGACTTGTCGTCATGCGAACAACCTTTAACCCTGACCTCTCCACTCGCCGACCACCTCCTTCCGCTCAGCACAAAGCTGCGTCAGAGTGCACCGGTACTGACGTCTCGCTCGTCGATCCCGTAGATCCTGGCATCCTCCCGCACCGAAACCGGAACGTCCTCGACGAGGTGAGTCATCCTTCCCTCCTTCTCCTTCTCCTGCTCGGCCCGCCCCGCTCGCTCGCTCGATATGATGCAACAACATCTCAGACCTGTACCGATCCCTGTCCCCGCTACGGCGCGGGACGAGGTGAAGGACAAAACGATTTGCCTTTTTTTCGCTGATCCCTCGACACAAGTCTGTGGGCGAGCATGCGATGCGAAGTGGAAAAAGAGTGTCGTGCTGACCATCGTTCCCTGCGTCACAGAGTCACCTTGCTGCCGGCGAGACCATGCTTCTCTCGGCAACGGACGTCCGTTACTTTCGTGAGTCTCGCTTTCCTCCCTGCTTCCTTCCCTCTACCCTCCCCTCCTCCGCCGGCGCCGACACACATGATGAACAAACATCTCAGACCTGTACCGAGTTTTCCGCCTCTCACGAAGGGGCGGGACAGGACGGACAACCCATGTTATTGCCTTTTTTCTCTGATCCACTTCGTCGTTCGCCCTCCTTCGCTCGTCGTCTTCGCCTGGGCGTGTCGTTGTGACGGAGCGGGAGCTGACCAGCGTTAGTCCGTACGCGCGAACAGGATCCTCTCCCCTCTTTCGCTCGTAGATCTTCCTCATTTCTTTCCATCCTTCGCATTGTCGCATACACTTCTTCGCATTGCATCCATATTACCGCATCCTGCGCAGTCAGCTCGTGCGAAGTCGAGATAAGTCGCGAGCATCCCACGTCGTGCGCTTCTACCTGTCCTTGTACCTCTCGCCCGCGACTCGCGCACACGACTCGAATCCGCTTGCCGGTTCTGCTAGCGCCCTCCATCAGCTGCTGCTCGCGTCTGAGCCTGCTGCACACCGTCCGACAGCCTTGCTCGTCGAGTTTGCCCCTCGTCCGCTGGAAAGCGATGAAGACGGGAGCCCACCACAAAACGCTGGGCGGCAACAAGCTTTGACGGAGCGTAGAAGCAACGGGCTCAGGTCCACTCAGCCTGCCATCCCGTCAAACGGAGTGCGACGCGCGCTGAGCAGGCCCTGAAAGCGTTTGCCTCTTCCTCTCGCTCCGCCTCTCGTCTGCCCCGTCGTTCCGGCTGAGAGGCACGCCAAGGAGCTGCTTGAGCTGCTTGGGATGCCTGTCTCCTCCTCCACCGTCTCGCACGCCGCCAGCCCGCCTCTAAACGACACCAGCGCCCCTTTCCCTCCCTTCTTTTCTGCAGAAACGACTCCCCTCATCTACTGCCGCGACGAGCCCCTCTGCCCCAATGATTGCACCGTCATACGGGCCCGATAGTCGACGCCCAGCCTACCCGCAGCCAGTCTCGACGATTGCTCAGACCAGCGACGATCCGGCGTGCTGCTCTGGGCAACTGAGCGGAGTGGTTCGAGCTAGTCGCTTTCCTTCCCTGATGCACGGGTTGGATCGTCGCTGAGTGGATAGAGCGGGAGGACATGGGAGAATGAGCGGCTGGAGTTGGCACGAGACTGTCATCACGGCGTCCAAGCCGGACGGTTCCCTCGAGCATTGTCGAAGGGACGAGCACGAGATGTACACGGATTGAGCGATAGCAGGGTTATACCACGGGCGAACTCGCTCGTCGTGGCTGATGAAGGAGGAGACGAGCACTTTGGGACGGCGACGTAGCGACGACTTTGCCGCTTCCCCAGACTGGGAGGTCACGCCACGCGTGAACAAAGCGTGCCGGTGCAGGCTCTGCCGACGCGCAGCCAGACGCTGTTCTCATTGAGCAGTCGACGGTCGGTCCTCGACGAGGTCGGGTGCGCTGGCGGTTTGCGGGTTCCGGGCCAAGCAGGATCGCTGGGGTTGGAGAACGAGCTGCGTCGACGCAAGACTGCTCAGGATGTCCGGAGAAGGGACAACGCGGACAAGTGAGGCGTAATGAAGCGTCCGAGATGGGAAGGTGTGGAGGTCGAGGCACGGCGGCAGAGGCTGCTCCAGATCTCGCAGTGCCCGGTCAAGTGCAGACCTCGACTTTGAGCACTTTGAGCTCTCCTGCGCCGTCGACCTGCTCCTCGTCCTCGAGCCACTCTCGCCTCTTCCCTTCCTCTCGCTCGTTGCTGCATTCCACGCACCCAGCGCGCACGCTCCCTCGCCACACTCACTCATCACTCTTCTCATCTTCTAGCGCCTCGTCGCCAGAGATCGCTCGTCTTTTACCGTCCTCTCGCGCCTCTCCCTCTTCCCTTTCCGCCCGACAACGTCGTCGAGAATGGCCTCGCTCGCCCCGCCTTCGTCGTCTGCGCCTTCCAAGGCCCACCGCAACCTCGATGTTCCTCGCCCTCAGCCGGCGTCCTCGCGCCCTCGCAAAGCGCCGCACCAGCTCCCCGTCTGGAACCTCGCCAAGGTCCCGTTCCGCCTCTTTTCGCCGCCCAAGGCGACTGGCATGGTCGGATCGGTTCGCTCGCTCAAGGCGACGCCCATGAGCGACGTCCGCCTCGCGGATGTCATTGCCAACAAACACCTCTCGCCGCTCTCGCTCAAGGACTTTGAGGTGCGTACTTCTGCGACGCCCTTCCCTCCCCTGCGACGACTGACATCCTCGGTCTGCAGGGCTACCTCGTCTTCAAGGAGTACTCTGCCGAGAACCTCTACTTCATCCTCTGTCAGTCTCCATTTCGTTGAACTTCCCAATCAGGAGAACTCGAGCCAATTCGTCGTACTGACGCCTCCTACGCTCCGTACTGCAGGGCTCAACGAGTACGAGAAGGAGTACGCGGCGTACATGAAGGATTCGTCGATCCCAAAGAAGGAGGCCCAGCCGACGCTCAACACGGACCCGTCCGCTCCTCGCTCGGCGGCGCACTTGCCCGAGTACCTCGCAGAGTCGCTCCGTCGCGGCCTCGACGTCTTCTTCGCGCCCGACGGTCCTCTCGAGCTGAACCTCCCTCGCGCGACTCGCGACCGCATCCTCGTCGAAGCGGGTAACTCGGGCGACCCCAACGACTTTGCCGAGGCTCGCGACATCATCGAGCACTCGCTCAACCGCTCGCTCGCCGCGCACACCAAGACTTGCGTCGCCAACGCCGGCCCGCGCCGTCTCGTCTTCTGCTGGTCTCTCGGTTGCTTCGTCTTCCTCCTCGGTCTTATCCCTCCCTTCGTCGGCATCTTGTGAGTTGGCGAGCTTCCTTGAAGCGCAAGCCAACGATACTGACGGTTCCGCGCTTGCAGCGGCCACCACGCTCGCGGATACCGCGCAATCGGTCTTCCCTTCCTCGGCCTAGGCATGGCTATCATGGTTATGGCCGTCAACCGCATCTGTGCCGTCATCTGGCTCCTCGGCGAGGACCGCCAGCTCCTGCCCTGGGAGCTTGCATCGCCGACCGTCACCTCCGGATCGATCGTCCCTATCAACTGCCCGACCACTCCTTCCTCGACCTACTCCTCCTGGGACGACGAATCCTCGTACGGCGACGACTCCAAGTCGCCCGAGTCGTCTTTCCGCACGCAGACCTCGGCCAACCCGTACCCGTGGGAGAAGCAAGACGCCGAGCTCTCATCGACTCCCGCCGTCGCACAGGTCGACTTCACTCCTTCTTCGCCCACCGCTTCGTCTCGTCCGCCTTCGTACCGTTCGGGGGGCACCACCTCGCGCGGCGTCGTCCCCGGCTCGGCACCCGTCTTCGGACCCGTCACCAGCGTCTTCTCGCCCGACGTCGCACGAGCACAGTGGCGTCTCGCTGTGTACGCTCTCGGCATCGGTCTCCTCACCGTCTGCACCGTCGGCGTCGTCCTCATGGCCGTCCCCAACCAGTAAACGCCCATTCAGCACACTCGTTCATATCATATCCGCTCCCCTTCCTTTTCCGCCCTCCTTAGTCGCCCTAGTTTGCCCCGTCGTTTTTTATCACATCCCGGTTCTGTATCATTCGGTGCGCGCCTGCGAGCGACCCGTTGTCTCCTAGGTCTTCCCCTCGTCGTCAGTACCTCCTCGAGCGTGCGTGCGAGGCACCCGCTCCATCCAGTGGAATCTTCTCCAGCATCATTCGGTCTAAGCGGCATCGCAAGCGAGAGAAAGTGAGAGAAGCTGGCATTGCGGGTGCAGAGGGAAAAGCGACGGGATAACAACAACTTCGAGAAGGGACAGCACAACCGAAAAAGCCGCTCGCTGCAACATGCGCCGCCTTGACACCATCCAAGGGAGATCCTCATTCACTTGCGCCTCGGGTCCCTCGACCTGTCCACGGCGGGCGGCCGCAAGGCGTTCTGATCCGGAAGAGGCGCGCCGCGAGCTCCGTAGGCGCTGGCGACGTTCGAGCCGGAGTGCGTAACGGGCGGCTGAGCGTGGAAGCCGTTCGAGTAGGAGGAGGCGGAGGGAGCGCCGTAACCGTTCGCTGACGTGCCACCATAGCCGTTCGAGGACGGTGCTGCGTAGCCGTTCGAGGGAGGTCCTGCGTAGCCGCTCGAAGCGGGTCCTGCACCGCCATACCCGTCGCCCGAGTTCTGCACGGGAGGCCAACATCAGTCTCTAGTTATGGAAGCGAGAGAAAGGCAGACTAACTTGACGAGCAGGCGGGCCTTGCGAGGCTTCGCGCCGGTAGTTCGCAGGCACGCGCGACTGCGAGCGGGGCTGCGCCTGCATGCAGGCCTGTCAGCAAGACGTCAGCAGAGAAAAGGGAAACGGTGCGCACCGGAGCGGCGGTCGACGAGTCGCGACTTGAGCTCCCGTCGTACCTCGAGTGGTCGTGATAGTCCCGCCTGGCCGGATCTTCGCGCTCGTCATGCCGGTATCCGTCGTTGCGCCTGTACCCGTCATCTCGCCTGTGGCCATCATCTCGCCTGTGTGAGTCGCTATCACTCCTCCGGTCGTCCCGCCAGTCGTCCTGCCGGTCAAAGTCCCTCCTGCGCTCGTCGCCCGCATAGCTTCGCTCCCTCTCCCGCTCGCGGTCACGCCCGCCCGACGGCGCAGCAGGCGGCCGCATCGAAGCCTCCTTCGACGAGCCGCGCTTCCCCTGCAGAAGAGCCAAGACCTCGTTGTCACGCCTCGCCTCGTTCGGGTTCGCCCTCGCGGTGGTAGGAGACAGCGAGGCGAACATTGACGCCTCTTGTCGCTCGATGAGATCCGGGTCGGGCTTGATCGCTGCGTGAGAGGCGGAAGTCGAGGCGGCAGGAGTCGTGTCGAAGGCGCGATACTGCGACGAGGTGTCGTAGGAGGAGTATGAGGTCGGCTGAGCGGCTGGAGGAGCTGCGTTGTCGCCGTAGAGGCGCTGAGGTTGCGCCTGCTGGTGCTGTTGCTGAGCACGAAGCGCCTCCTTTTCCCTCATGACGCGTTGAATCTCCTCCTGTTCAAAGTCGACCGCACCCCACGCCCGCTCATCCATCGGCTCGTCCTCAACAGGTGCAAAAGCAGCGGTCGAACCGGCCGACTCTACGTAGATGGCCCGTCCGCGGTCGTCGAACTGGCGCTTGCCGGTCGCTGAGAGCAGGGGTCGAGGGGGCGGTGGTGGTTGTCGCTTCCCTGGCGGGGCCGCGCTCGGCGCCCATGTACCGCTCGAGCCCGATGCAGCGGAAGCAGGAAAAGCAGCGACGCCACCCGTAGGCAGGCCCACCCTCTGAGCGAACTTCGCATGTTTGGCGGAGAGGCCGACAGGCGGAGCGGGAGTCGCTTGAGGCTGCGTCGCGGAAGCTGGACGATGTTGCGCGGGTGTACCTGCGCCGGCTCGACCAAACACCGGCGTGTTGAACGCCGAGCCGTTCGTCGACGAGGCCGTGTCGCCGAATACGACGGGCTGAGGTCGTGCGCCTGGCTGGAGGTTCGCCGCGGTCGAAGAGAACGGCAGCGGGTCGCCGCTCGCCGAGCGCTGGAGGCGGTCGCCCTTTTCCTTCTTCTTTTTCTTCTGCACCTGCGCGAGCTCATCACCCTCATCCGCATCGCTGTCCCCCATCGCGATCGCGCGCTTCTTGCCCTTCGCCTAAGCGGCCGAATCGTTCGCGCCTGTACCATTCGCGGCGGGCTGCGGCGCTGCACCAACCGTCTTCCTCCTCGCCGCGCTCGACGGGTCGTACGACTTGCGTAAGGAGCCATCGTCGTTGTACCAGCGCTCGAGCGTCGACGTGTCGAAGTTCCTGATCGGGCAAACCGTCAGCTTTCGACCGAGCAGAGGACAAGAGTGCGACGACACACTTAACCCAAGCCTTGACGAGCTGATACGTCTTCGAGTTGTCCTTGACCTCGCCGGGGAACGACTCGTGGACGTGAATCCTCAGTCGATGCACAACCTCAAGCAACTCTCCGTCGCTCAAGTCGTTGTCCTCGACAAACTTCTGAACGACGGCGGGGAGGAGATGGATCTCGACTGGCGCGAAGGCAATAGTCGAGAGGGCCTTGGTGCGCTCGACGTCGACGTCCGTTGCGCGCAGGCGCCAAACGCGATGCGGGACCGGCACATTCTTGTCCCTCAAGTCCTGGTAGGTCGACGTGTTCGGCCACGCGTCTTCGCCGGGCAGAGCCTTGACGAGCGTGAGCTTCTTGAAACGCTCGATGGCGCGCTCAACAGCCATGGTCTGCCTCTCGCTCGGGACGGGCAACTCCTGCATGTTCTTCGTCCGCTTCGCCTCGGACTCTTGCGCGAGCGAATCAAAGTCGAGGATGAGGTTGCGCGACATGACGTAGGCGGCGGTGAGGACTTTGCCGCGCTTCGAGCTGAGGACGCGAGGTCGGAACGAGTGCGGGTCCTCGGCGGAGAAGTACTTCTGGCGGAGCTGGTGGATCCAGAAGGCGTAGGGCGAGGTGATGGCGTTCATGATCTCTGCCAGCGGAACGTGTCAGCCTGTCCTCTCGTTCTCACGCGAGCGAGCGCACTTACCGCCCTTGTCGAGCGCCTTGCCCAACTGAACCCGCTTGAAGATCTCCCTCTCCTGGGCGTCGCTCAACTCGCGATAGAACCCGTACCGCAGCCGCTTCGAGTCGAACACCTGGCGCGCTTGAGGCTCCATCGTGCTGTATGTGAACTTCTTCTTCTTCTGATCAATCTGCGGAAGGTTAGGAAGGTCAGCGCGCGAGGATAAAGCAGCGGGCAGCGGGAAGGCGCGACTCACAGCAGCAAACTTGCCCTCGATGAAGCTGCGGAGGAAGACACGAGACGGGTTAGTGACACCACCGCAGAAGAAGAGGAACGCAGATGGCTAGGCAGAACTTTCTGACCTCGCTCTGCCTATGGGCAAGACCGCTTGCGACTCACCTCTTGATCGCCGTCATCCTCTGCTTCCCATCCGCACAATTTCACACCTTCCTCGGTACCTTCTTCCCCTTCGCCCTCCCCTTCGCGTCCACATCCTCCTCCAGCTCGCTCTCGCCGTCCGAATCCGACTCGCCCTTCCAACCCGCTGGCAACCTCGCCTTGTTCTCCGGGTCGATCTGGGCGTCGGGGTGGACGAGCTTGTAGCGCTTGTCGGAGGGGACGGGGGTAGATGTTGAAGAGGAGTTCGGGGACGTGCATGTTGCGCAGCAGGGACTCGATTAGCCCGGCAGAGTGCGTCTCGGGCCACTGGCGCGCCATGGGAAGAGACAGCGGCGAAGGAACGACTCGGAGTTTGTCAGCGCGTGCAGATAGGTTGCGAGGAAGCGAAAGGGAGCATACAACGGCCTCGCGCTGGTAATCCGGACTCAGGTTGATCACGCCCGCCTTCAGCATGTCGTAAATCTCTGTGCGCGTCTCTCTGTCAGCTCAGAGTCCAAGGCGTCAACAGAAGCGCCGGCGGACGCACCTCGAACCGTCTTGCTGCCAAACTCCTCCTCAGGCAGGACGCGCTCGCCCTTGTACAGCCCCTTGACCGCCTCCATCTTTTTCGCCTGCACAGCGCGCAACTGCTGCTCCGCTAGCGCCTCCTCATCCGAGCTGTCCTCGTCCTCGTCCTCCGTCGCAGACTGCAGATCGTCCAGCTCGTCCTCCTCATCGCCGTACCCGGTCCCCGCGTAGCCGTTCATCGCTGCGGTGTATGGCTGCGCAGAAGTCGATGCGACTGGCTGCTGCTGGTCTGCAAAGTACGAGGGAGTTGGCGCATGCGAGAGAGCGGGGGTTTGTTCGTTGAAGAGCGGGCGCGCCGAGTGCGGGTGAGCATGGCGGGGCATGTACTGCGAGTACGATGCCTCGGACGTGCTGTCGTCGTCGTCCATCGCGAGCGAGGTGGGAACGAAGGAAGCGATGAGAATGGACCGGGTTGTAATGATGAAGCAATAGAAATCGAGTTGTATTCAAACTGATTACGGCTGCCTCGCTTCCCTCAACTTCTCCCTTTCTCTCGCTCTGACTGCGCTCTGCTGGCCTGCCAACAAGCTAGCTGGATTGCCGAGGTCCCAAGCATCCCAGCGATGCCCGCCTTCGCCCCGCTCGACCCCTCAATCCCACACCCCCTCGCCCCCTCCTCTCCACTTCCCTCAAGATTCACCGCTCAAACCCACACCCTCGCAGCGCGCCTCTCTCGCACAGACGCACCGCGTAGAAAGAGCGGAATCGTACATCATGCGCCGCAGGGATTGGGGTTGCCGGAACTGATTTGTACGGGCGTCGAGGGGGATTGGGAGGGTCGGAGACCTGCTTGGGTAGCAGCGGAGCGGGGAGAGGAGCCTGCGGATCAGGAGCAGCTTGAGGAGAAAGAGGCGTGGCGGGCATTGGGCGTCGAGGGGATCCCGCGGGACATGGACGAGCGGGAGAACTGGGAACGGGTCAAGCGGGGCTGGCGAGAAGAGCGGCAGAGGGAGCGAGTACGGGCTCAACAAGCAGAGGAGGCCGCGATGATTACGAAGAAGCTGAAGGCGTTGGTGGATCCCTCGACTACCGACAGCCGACGACAGAAATCGACCGCATCCGCCTCGACTCCCGCTTCCACTTCGCGCCCTTCCCAGCCGACGCTCCTCACTTCGCACTTCTCTACCTCAAAAGCAACTGTATCTTCCTTCGCATCCGGCAAGAAGCCCGTGCCCGCCCCTCCCGCCGCCAACTCAATAAAGAAGAAACGTCCTTCGTCCTCTCCTCCCGCTCAGCCTCATCCTGCTCCACCTCCACATCGCCATGCTCGTCACTCTTCTTCACCTTACGAGGACGAAGCACCCGCACCAACCGGCAAATCGGGCGACTCGGGACAGTCGGGCAAGGCGTCGTTCCCTTCGCTTTCGAGCATCAACTCGGCTGGCCGAGCAGCGGAGGTCGAGGCGGGCTCGAGTCTCTCGTCAGGCGGAGAGATACGAGAAGAGGCTGAGGAGGAACGGAGGGAAGTGAGAGTGGCGGACGAGGAGATCTTGTTCGAGGGGGGATACACGCAGGTAAGTCCCGATGGCAGCTCACTCCGGTCGACGCGCGACCCGCTTGGTCTTGCGTACATCCGTACGAGTACGCTGTCGAACAACGGCACTGACGGTATTGTACGCGGCAGATGGTCCTCCCCGACCCGACCCCTTCCGCTCGTCCAACCGCCTCAACATCCGCAGCTGCACCTCCCCGCCCACTGTCACACTCCGCTCTCTCGCCTCACCCTCCGCCCCTCAATCTGCCCTGGTCTTCCCCTGGTCTGCGCGGCGACCCGGAAGACTCACACGGGAAGAGCAGCACGCCCGTTCCCCTCGCGCAACCCCAGCCTGTCCCTCGCATCCAAACCTCCACTTCCTCTCGCTCTTCACGCTCTCCTTCCCCTCCGTTTCAGCCCACTGCCGACCATCGGACCCGCCCCGCTCCTCCCTCTCGCGCCCTGACGAACTTCTCAACGACCACCACTTCTTCCGTCACCAACACCAACGGGCTTTATCACCGACCCAACCTCGCGCGTCTCTCAGAACTCGCAAGGACCGGAAGCGCGTTGAGTGTTAGGAGTAACGGCAGCGAAGCGGGGGAGGGGATGAGGGAGATTGAGCGGTTTCTGGAGGAGGAGGCGAGGGAGTGAGCTGGGACTGGAGAGGTGCGGGACAGAGCAGTGCGGTGCTTGTAAGAGAGGACGTAGCGGGGTCCCTTGAGCGGTGTTGTGCCATTACTTCGCTTGTTTTCCCAGTTCCAACACGCGGAGATGGCTTATGCGCCCGTCCTTTCCGCTCGGATGGCTTCTCCGGCCCTTTGTAAGGCTTCAGCGACTCAGCAACCCTCTCTGATGCCGCCGGACCCGACCTCGCGGCGAGCGGGACTGGTCCTCGCTCGCATCTCGCTCGCTCGGCTCTCGTCGTTCGACAGTCTCTCTCTCTCGCTCTTGCTCCCGCCAGACGCGACAGAAAGTCCACACCCGCGAACATCATGTCCACGCCACACCGCAAAACGCGCACGACGGCCTCTGGCGCTGCGCCCATCCGCCTGCACCCTCAGTCGCGGTGGACAATGCGGAACCTGGTTGTCGCGGGGCTTGCGTTGGGGTTGCTGAGTGCTCTTGTGCGTGTGTTGGAGAGTGTCAAGGTGCGTACAGGCTCTCCGCTTCCCGAGGGAGCTGAGCTGACCGCCGTCCTTGTCCTCCTCGTTCAACCATGATCCTGTCGGTCGCCCACAGTCACGGTGGTACATCTTCGACCCTCCAACGCTGCACAAGCTCTGCCAAGAGTCGCTCGCACTGCACGGCAACGACACCGTTTCCGTCGTCTCTCACATCGTCACCTCACTCCAACAAACCCACCCTTCCTTCGCTATCAACACACAGTTCTCCGCCACCCCGCTCCTTTCCTCCCCTACGAACGGCAGCATCATCCCCTCCTCCTACACGCCCAACGACCGCGAATGGGTCTGGAACAACGCCGGCGGAGCGATGGGCGCAATGTTCATCATCCACGCGAGTATCACCGAGTACTTGATCGTCTTCGGCACGCCCCTGGGCACAGAAGGTCACACGGGCCGTCATACGGCGGACGACTTCTTCCATATCCTCGCGGGAGAGCAGTGGGCTGCCAAGGCTGGGTCGTTCGAGATGGAGCGGTATGTGGCGGGAGATGTGCACCACCTTGTCCGTGGAGAGGTCAAGCAGTACAAGTTCCACGAGGGCGGGTTTGCGCTCGAGCTTGCGCAGGGTGCGTCCTGCGTCGTACCTTCCTCACTCTACGAACTCGACTGACCCGATGAGCTGGCGCAGGCTGGATCCCCCTCATGCTCCCCTTCGGTTTCGCCGACACCTTCTTCTCCACTCTCGACATCCCGACACTCTACAACACCGTCCGCATCACCGGTGCGTTCCCCTCACTCGACCTCGCTGGATAGCGGTTGCGTCCCTCCGTCTGCCTTCTCGGGCTGGGAGAGGACGCTGAGACGCTACCATGTTCGTCGGGACTGACGATGTGGCTCACAGGCCGCGAGATGATCAAGAATCTTCTCCACGGCAAGATGTAAGCGATTAGCCCTCATTTCTCTTCGCCTTTCCTCCGCCGTCAAACCCTCGGCAGCATTCTTGGGACTTGGCCGGTACAGCTGGGACAGACGGAAGGGAGGGTATCTATCGGGTGCTGAGATAGAGGAATAAGCAGTAGGAATTGGGAAGTCGGCGCGCAGGCGTCCCTAATTGCAAGCCGGAAACAAGCTTTCTCGCCCAGCAAATCCGTAAGAGAGGGAGCGAGGAGCACAACAGAACGTTTCGCGGAAGATCGAGAGACGAACGGTAGGAAACGCGGGCTAGTTCCGACTCTGCTCGACCGACTACGAGGAGGCACTTCTCCTCCAGTCTTCTTCCGCAACGCATATCCCGACCCCACCTGAACGCCGCCCGGTCCATCAATACGCAAGCCGCAGAAGTGGCGCCGCTCACTGCCCCTGCGGCGGTCCAAACGCGCTCTTCCCGCTTCCGAGCTGGATCGACCTCGCCTGCGGAGCCTGCGACGCGCCAACCATCGGGTGAGGTGCGTACTGAGCTTGAGCCCCGTTTGGCGAAGGGAAGGGCGGTTGAGCGGGGAAGGCAGGAAGCGGAGGTTGGGCTGGAGCTGGCGGGAGAGGCGGGAGTTGCGCGCCGGCTGGAGGAGGCGGGAGGGTGTTCTGCGGTGGCGCGGGGTACTGCGCGGCCGGATCGGCGGGGAGAGACGACCGACCACGCTGGCCTCGTCCGCTCCCGCCCGCGTGGGCATACTCGATCTTGTACGGGTTCTCCACCTGCGGTCGCTGCTGCTGCTGCGGATAGCCCTGACCCGTCGCACGGGCCTTGCCCTTCGCCATCGCAGGATTGACAGGCGGCGGCGTAGCGACGGCATACATGAGCCTCGAACCAGGCGGGAGCGGCCTTTTGGACCAGCTCTTCTCGACGTCGCGCATGAGGCCGAAACCGGTCGTGCCGGTGTAGGCGGAGAGAGAGTCGGACCAGATGAAGGCTTGGTGGTCGACGATAGCGTTGAGGGTGCGGAAGGCGGAGAGGGTGCCATAGGGAGTCAAGGTTCGAGGGTCGCGGTAGCGCGCGATCAGGCCGGTGATTGGGCACAGGGTGTGCTCTGCGGCCAAGCACTTGTCAGTGACAGGGAAGAGAGAGCGACTGAGCAAAATGCGGAACGCACTCGTGCCATTCTTCGGCATGGGCGGCGGCTTGGTCCAGTCGACATGGTCGCCAAACAACGCCTCGAGCTCTTCCCCGCGCGAGCCTTCGAATTGGTCAAATATGAGCCAGTTGCGGCAGTACTCCTGCGACTCGGGCGGCTGGGAAGTGATGGAGTCGGCGTCGATCGGGTTAAGGATGCCGTTGAGCGAGGCGGAGGTCGAGGGCTTCGCCACGGCGTTCGAGCGGGTGCTGCCCGACGGACCAGCAACAGCGCCACCAGTCTCCGCTCCACCAGCCTTCCAACCCTTCTGTCCACTCTCGCCAATAACCTCAATCAGCCTCTTCCTCCCCTTCTCCATCTTCTCCTCCTTCCCCTTGCCCTTATCCACCCTCCCCTGCACCCTACTTAAGAACGTGAGTTTCGGGCCGATGATCTCGTACCGCATGCCGGCGATCCGTTCTTGCTCGCGACGGTCCTCCTCGGCGGCGTAAAAGGCGAGCAAGGCGGCGCGGTTCTTCTCTTCTGTCTCGAGGGCTTCGGCGATCAGGTCGGCTTGAGTTAGGGTGCGAGTCGCCTTCTTCGTCTGCTTCGGGGCGACGGCCTATAGGCGGCAAATTCGGGAGTAAGAAGCTGGTTTAGCGAAGGCGAAAGACTCGGCTGCAACGCACTTTGCGCTGCTCCGTCTCCTTCAGCCTCTCCTGCACCTGCCTCCTACTCTCGACCGCGGTCCTCCTCGTACTCTCCCTCTGCGGCGCGTACAACGCCGGATCAATCGCAACCTTCTTCTTCTTCTTCGGCGGCTCATCCCCTCCCTCCTCTGCTCCCCCATCGAGAGTCGTTGCCGAGGTGGAAGCGACGGCTGCTGCGGCGGCTTTTTTGCGAGCGGCTTTGGTCTGCCGAGCGAAGGGGTGGACGGGGGCTTGGAAACCTTTCTTCTTCTTCGTGCGCTCCGCCTGCGACCAATCGGTCAGCGGGCTTGTAGAGCATAGCGAACGCGATGTGACAAACCTTCTTGGCCTCCTTTGCTTCGCGCTGTAGCCGCTTCTCGCCCGCCTCCTCATCGTCCTCCTCATCTCCCGCATCCTCATCCGTCGACCCGAAATCCGAATCAAACTCGTCCTTCTCCTCTGCTCGCCCAAACTCTTGCCGTCAGCCACGCACATCGAGAGAGCGAGAGGAAGGGCACTCACCCTTCTGCTCAAACTCCTCGTCGTTCTCCTCCTCCCTAAACATCTCCTCCGTCTCGACTTTCGCACTCGCCTCGTCCTCAATAAGCGCCTGCATCCTCGCACCCGCATTGCTGCGCCTCGAGCGCGTCGCGAGGTTTGGCTCGACCTCGACATGCTCCGAGTCTGATGAGGAGTCGTCGTCGGATGAGGCGGCATCGGCGGCGGACGACGCGGCTTCGGGCTCCTCTGATGGCTCGGGTGAGCTGCGTGCACGAGCGCGGCGGGCCATAGCGGTGCGACAAGCGGGAGCGTGTGAAGCGGGTGAGGAGAAGGAGCGGGACGGGCGGTGACGGTGTGGGTGGAGCGGGCTGGACGCGTCTCTCCGGGCTTGAACGCTGCACGATGCTTGCTGTGGACTTTAGCAGCGCTTTCCAGCTGTGTGCGACGAGGAACGGCGGACTTGCTCGCTCTCTAGGATTCGAATCGCTCTCGCTATCCAGGAACGGTATCCAGCGGTCTTCAACGGGGCTTACTGCACTCTTCATGAGCTGCTGCAGTGCTCTGACAGGCACGAAAGCGGCACGAGTGAGGGACGCGGGCTCGGTGAGGGGTCGAAGGGAAAGAGCGGGTTGCGAAGTTGGAAACGACGCGAAACCAGCGCAGCATGTGCAGTATCGGCTTTCTTCAGACGACGCAGGGAGCGAGGTGTACAGCAGGAGCGCTGCCGAAGAGGCGAGGTCGTGGAACGAGCAAGATCCGCTCGTTGGAACCGCTCTCCAACTCTGCCAACTTCACCGCGTTCGCGTACAGTCACATCAAGATGCTAATTACATTGCTGTTCTCCTTCTCTTCATCCCCTAGTCCGGCCTGAGTGAAGCGCATCTAGAGGTCCGCGGTCGTCGCACCGGACGAGCCCTCGTTGGAGAACTTCTTGCTCTCCGAGTCGGTCTTGACGTCGGCGCCGGCGCCGGCGTTGGCGGGGTATTCGTTGTTGACGTCTGCGTGTAGCGTGGGTGGATTGGTGCGAAGAGGGGCGAGGAGGGAGGTGCGGATGGCGAGAAACGGGGCGAGCGGGAAGACGGTCAGCATTCATCCGCTGGCTTGGCAGTGACAGAAGCGATGCTTGACGCACTGGGCTGCGAGGACTGCAGGGCAGAAAGAGGGCACATTGTCAGCATGAGGTGGACTTGGGCGAGGAAGACGAGTGCTCGTCTCGAGCGACTCGCCCCGCCTCCAGCGAGATCGCCTGCACTGAAGCGCTCGAACTCACGGTATCACCCTTCATGCTGCTCTCGGAATCGTTCATCTCCCTCCCGCCCGACTGACTGTCCTTTCCCTGTCCCGAGAACTGCTGTCCGCCGACGGAGCCCTCGCCAAGTGCCTTGTTGTCCGAGCCGAGTCCAGTTGCCGAGTCTGTTACGCTGATGTCAGCTCGAGGAGGAGGGAGAGGAGTGCCGCGAGAGGGGTGACGGACTGGAAGACATGGTTTGAAGCTGCGCGAGTGGGACGAGGATCAGGTCAGCTCCTCTTCACTGCGAGTGTCTCTGCGTCACTTACTGTGTGTGTACGAGTGCACGAGTGTGAAGGAAGAGGGAGAACAAGAGAAAGCGAGTCGTCCACTCGGTGACGCACTCTCGAGTTGACGTGTCCCCCCCGACCTTCGCAAACCGAGGCAGACCGTTTTCTCGCGCACTTCACTATCTTTCGACGCTGTCAAGGTTGCAAGCGACGTATTTTGACGTTCGTACGACGCAGACTCTCAAGTAACGACGCCGGAAGAGGAAGACGGCGAGGAATCTTTTCTTTGCAAACTTCGAGGGAGAGAAGGAGACGTCTTTGCCTGCTGTCTCTGGTTCTGATGAGCGAGAGCGAGAGAATCTTCTGATCGGGGTACTGAGAGTGAAACGAAGAGAGCGGAACAAGGGGAGAGAGGGAAGGGAGAGGGGAGGGCAATCTAGGCGGCAACCTTCTTCTCCTTCTTCCTGAAGCGCTTCGTGTTGGCCTCCGAGATCTGGCGGATGGCCCAGGAGCTGTAGAGCCGCCGCAGAAGGCAGAGAGGAAGGGAAAGAGGGAGGGAAGAAGCGGGAGTCAGCGCAAGTTCGTCCTCCTGCTCGGGGACGAAGTGAGGAACTCGCTACGTACAGCGCGTACGTCTTAGCCGCATCAGCGTAACTGGATAATATCGCGAAACTATCGTCATCCGCCACGGCGCTGTCGGTAGCTTGGCCCTCCGGAATCTCGTCGATCCAGCCGGCGAGTTCCGAGAGGTACGGGTCGTCGCGCTCGAACTGCATGCGACTCGGGTTCATCAGCGCACGCTCAGGTTGACGTTGCACAGCGAGGGACAGAGTACGCACCGTGTACACCTGCTCATCGTCCCCCTCCGGCGTGCGGACCCTCAACTCCGGCGCGTTATACGGATCAATCAACTTCAACTGGTACCCATCGCACAAGACGTCCAACTCGCACGAGTACTTGTACCCCTGGAGGACGAGCGCGTGCGTCAAGGATCCGACGGCGCCGTTCTCGTATTTCCAGGTCGCGGACGTCACGCGCGGGATGCGGTCGTCGGGCGCAATGGAGGATTCGTCGACGGGCACGGCGGAGAGTTGGCCGGCGGGCTCGTCCCACTCTGCGCGAGGCGAGGAAGAAGTGAGCGGAGGGAGGAGACGGAGAAAGCGAGGGAAACGCACCGAGAGCATGCGCTTGGACGCTGTCCATGTCGACGTCGCCGCCGAAGTACCTGCAATCGTGTGCAGCGGAGCGAGAAAGACGTGGAGGTGCGCGCGGAGTGAGGAGGGACACGAGGTGAGGGAAGGAAGCCGGGACGTCAGCGGGAGCTAGGAAAGACGTCCAGGACCCCGTTTAAGCCGGTAGATCGCGAGTTCACGTACCTCGACAAGTCGATGAAGTGCGTCGCCTGCTCAACAACTATTCCGCCGCAAGAGGTCAGTCTAACCCGCATCATATGTAGAGATGAGCTCAAGCGAACGCACTGGGTCCGCAGTCCTTGCTCTTCATCCACCACGCAGGCTTGGCGATGTTGGCGTACGAGCAGACGTAGCGAGCGTTGGTAGCCATCACTTCGAGCTCGTTGTCCTCGATGATCTGGCGCATCTTCTGGACGACTGCGTCACGATCCCGAGTCAGTCGGTGCGTGGAGGGGTCGTGAAAAAAGGAGGGTAAGGTGGTGGGACGGACCGCGCAGGTAGCGGAGGAAGTAGCCGACTGATACGACGGCTTTCGAGTCGACGAGGGCTTTGGCGACCGTGAGCGCCTCGTCGACCGAGTCGGCCGAGAGCGGCTTCTCGATGAACATCTGTCAGAGCCGACAGCCATAGACATCAGTCACCTAGTCCAACGAGGAACCAGGGAGAGAAAGCGCCTGCGCCTGAACTCACCGCCGGCGTGTCCTTGGGGAAGTGCTTCAACACCTGCATCTCAAAGTCCCTCCCCTGCTTCGTCGAACCCCTGAACGCGGCCGGACTTCCGACGACAAACGCATGCGGACGCTCGTGCTCCTTCATGGTCGAGACAAAGTCGTCGAGCGAGGAACAGATGCGCGTGTCGCGGTAGGCCATCTCGACGAACGAGGAGCGCTTGACGTCAAGGCGTTGCTTGGCGACGGTCTCGTTGGGGTCGATGATTGCGACGACTTTGAGACGCGGGCCGAGCTGTAGTAGGAGCGGGGTGAGCGAGGAAGAGCATGTCGAGAGCGGGTCACGAGTCGCACCTTGTTCTCGAGGCGGAACGAGTGGTCCCAAGGTCCTGCAAGACGCAGACTATCAACCAGCTGCTTTACCTCGGGAAGATAGGGAAAGCAGCAAGGGAGGAGTGCCGGGACTCACCCTCATCGCTTCCCTGTTCGTCAGCAAAGCGAGGTCACGGAGTCAGCATGCCATTCCGCAAGCATCCCGCTTCTCCCGTTCCCCTCGCCGTCCTCTTCTCCCAGCAACAAAGACCGCCTCAGCCTATCCGCGGAGTTCCCGTCCCTCCTCTCGCTGTTCCACGAGAACCGCTCGAGGCGGAGTGGCAGGAAACGCACAAAGTTGATGTTGCCAGCGCCGACAAAGATGATTTTCTGCCATCCAAACAACGATCCAGATCAGCTCATTCTCAAGCAGTGCCGCGAGGAGAGGAGGAAAAGGTGCTGGCGACGAGGGAACGCACGAAGGGAGCGCCTGGCTCGGGCTTCTTGTGGTGGGTGAGGGGTCCGAGGCGGGTCGTAGCGATAGATGGGCGACTGCACGAGTCCATACGAAGCGCAGGTCAGCTCGCGTACGACCGAAAAGTCGCTCGTCGATGGGACCGAGCGATGAGGAGAGCGGTAGCTCGAGCGAGGGGATGGACAAACCGGACGCTTGAGCGCCTGCGACCCTGCTGAGCTTCACCGAATGAACCTGGCATTTCTGGCTGTGTAGCGGTTGGGATTGAAGCGTGAGGACGAGGAAAGGAGTGCGTCAGCGAGAGAGGGACCGAGGGCGAGGATGTGGGGTTCGTGCGGGTGAGAGAGGAGAGCTGGAGCGAGCTCAGGCGACGTTACACGCACAGCAACGTACGAGCAAGCAAGTTAGCGAGCGAGAAAGAGCACGAGGAAGCTGAGGCGGACAACGAACTGCCGACGAGCTGGCGAAGGCGGCGCGGGCCTCCGGCGCGACATCGATGCGGGTGTGGAGCACAGCGGGCGCAGCAGCGAAAAGGTGTGGAGCCTCGCAGGAGGAAAGCTTTCGTCAGCAGCGAGCGAGGAGGGCGCAAAGAGGAGGCAAAGGCGAGGAGGACTCGCGCGAGAAACGGGCTACATGGCATGCAAAGAGGCTGGACTTGCCCAGGCCGATAGAGACACAAGCAAGAATCATACAACGTCGAAAGAAAGAAGGGAACGCGCGAGGACGGGGAGAAGAAGTGGTGGGTGAGCGCTTGGGAAGGCCGTGGGTTGACGAGTCGTTGCGCGTCCCTACTTGACAGAGACGGTCCGCCTGCGCCTCTGGTGCAACGTCGAGTGATCCGCTCGGCGCTTGACGACGACCTGGAAGCGAGCGGGCGACGACGCTGACAGGCGAACGAGGAAAGTCAGTTCGTCCTGAACTTCTGCCGACAAGCAGAAACACGCACCTTCCCGCTTTCCCAGCCCGACCATCCCACCAACCCCATCCACCGCTTCTCCAACAACACCCGCAACCTCCCCAACGGCCTCCTGAACCGCATCCAACACCCCTCTCATCGCTACCGCCTGCGCAGGCGTCGTCGTACTGCTACTGCTACTGCTGGACGTGGCATGCGAGATCGCATAGCTTCCTGGTACGCCACCGGGGGGCATCGTACCCGGCGGTCCCGAGAACGTCGGAGGGTGAAGAGCCGTCCCAGGGTCTGGCGTGGTTCTGCCGTATCCTCCTACCGGCGTTGTCGTCGTGGTCGATGCAGCAGGGGTGGTCGTGGGAGAAGGAGGGACGTCCCGCTTCGAGCCGAGGATGGAGGAGAGGTACGACTCGTGCCGTTCGTGCCAGAGAAGTCGGTGCGTCGCTGCGGGGGTTGTGGTTGGTTGAGGGGTCGGAGGAGGGGTAGTAGGAGTCGGAGGAGGAGGAGGCGGAGGGGTGGTGGTACGGTGTCCGACGATGCGAGAAGTTGCGGGGTCAGAGGAGGAGGCAGGGGTAGTCGTCGGCGGCGAGGGCTGCGACGAAGCGGCGGCGAGTGACGAAGACTTGCGCTCGACGAACGGAATCCGACGGATTGCTGAGCTTGAAGCAGGCGTCGTCGTCGAGCCAGCCGCAGCAGCACCTTGCTTTCCTCCGCCGAAAGCTTGGCTGGTCGCGCTTGAGGAGGAGCTCGACTCGAGAGGCGGGAAACTCGGCATCGTCGGTGTGCTATTAGGCGTAGTGATAGTCTGCGCCGGCGCTGTACCCCAAGCCAAGCACATCAGCACCCCGTCCTCCCTCCGTCGAGACGAACCGCGCCAAACTCACTCGTAAACTGGTTCACGTTACTTCCGATAGGCGGGAGCGTCGCCGTATCCTGACCCGACGTCGGGTCCTGGATGATACTCGGTCCCCAGACCCATCGTCGTTGGCGCTGGTGGTCGTAGTGAGAGGGGCGGTCTTGGGATTGGGCGGAGGCGAGGAGTGCGAAGGCCGCGACGGAGGAGACGAGGGTGATTGTGCGCATTTGGGAGCGGAAGAAGGCGGGCGGGCGCCTGTGCAGGAGTGGTGAGGAGGAAGGCCGGGAAGGCGAGACGAGGGTGGGAAGGGAAAGAGCGACAAGGGTTGGACAGGCGGTACGAGCGCAAGCGAGGCGTTACAAGCAGTCGAGAGACCACAAAGGAGACAAATCAGAGGCCCCAGCGGGCGGTGTCATCGAAGCGCGAGAAGAAGAGGACGCAAAGGAAGCGAGGGGCTGAGACGAGAGGGGGTCTCCGAACGTCCGAACTCCCATAGTCCCTGCAGCGTTAATGCGTGGCCGTAATGAACGGAGGAAGATCTGGGCGCTCCTGGTGGATCAGAGCAGAGACATCAGGGACACACCGCCTTTGTCGAGAAGCGGATCTCGCTCGCTTCCGCAGGCGAGCGGATCTGCACCGCAGGGCCACTGCCTTGTTCGCGAGCATGTACTTCAGACGTCCCTCCAGCCGTCGCCCTTGCCGCTGCGAGCGCCAGCCTCCGCGTGCACCGTCTGTCCGCGCGACAGGCGCAGACGATGAGCGCGGCGCAGGCTCTGTGGGAACAGCGGACGCTGCCAGGCAGCAATACGAGTCGATTCTATGCGCTCTAGGTCATATGGAAGGTAGCAGGCGGCGACGTGTGAAGGCCGGATGTGGAAGGAGGAAGAGGAGGAAGGGGCAGCATGCGCGGGCACTCTCAGGGGAAGCGAGGCGCGACGTGTGCGTAGGTTTCGTAAGGCTGAGTAAGCAAACTTCGACCGTCGAACAGCAGAGCGAGCGAGCGGGCGCAGACGGTCGCGCAGGCAGTCGCTCGCACGCAGAAACGGTGCAAGGGGAGATAACTAGTATGTCAACAAACGTGGTACCGTCAGACAACGTGCAAGGGTCGTAAGTCGTATGTCGCAAGCGGGGGACAGGCTGCGGGGAGGGAGGAGGGAGGCGGAAGGAGGGGAAAGGCGACCGGCGCCTTTGGGTGGGTACAGCGCACGTCTCAGCGCGCCATTCCGATGGCTTCGAGCTTGCCAAAGTGCGGACGGGCGAGACGGATGTTGAGCTCGATGGCGGCGGGTTCTGCGGACGAACAGACGGAGCCAATCAGCGGATGAAACGCCGGAGACTTGGGTGAACGCCGCAACTCACGAATCTCCCCTCGCGCGATGACGAGGATGTATGTCTCCGGCGTCAACGAGTCGAGTACTGCCGTGTAATGTTGCGTCGAGACGACAAGCGAGGAGAAGGGCGAGCGGATTTTGCTGTGGTCGGATGCATGAACGAACGTCAGCCGTGCCGCAGCGAGATGCAAAGCAAACGCTGTATGCTCCGAAAACTCACGAGCACCCGAGCTTGAACGCCTTGACCATCGTGCTGATCCGCTCGAACCGCCGCTCGTCCCACTCCGTGTCGTGCACTTCTTGCTCATTCGTGACCGACGAGATGACGAGGAAGGTGGTCCGCTCGAAGAGAACGACTTCGGAGGCGGAGGAGAGGGAAAGGAAGTGGGAGAGATGCGTTCGGAGGGAGGAAAGGGAGGGCATGAGGTGCGACATGACAATTGACCAGGCCTGCGAGGAGGGAGGTCAGTTCAGCTCGACACATCACGACAGTGGCATGCGCACCTTGTAGAGCGTCTCGTTCCAGATGCTCGTCCCGTAGAACTGCAACCCGCCCTGATACCCCGACTCTCGCGCCTTCTTCGTCACTTCCGCCTCAAACTCTGCCAACTTGCTCGCTTGCATATCCACCGGCACCAGGTCCATCTTGTGCAGCAGGACAAAGACCGTCGGACCACCGTCTTCGCCTGAACCGTTCGACGAAGTGGACACAGGGTTCTGGTCGCGCAAGGTTCGGAGACACTTGAGGAAGTAGGCGGTGTCGGAGGTGAGGAGTTCAGGGGACTCGGCGTCGAAGATGTAGATGAGGGAATGGACGGAGCGGAACACAGTCGAGGACTGCGCCGTCAGGTGCGAGTCTATGAAGGCTGCCAGGCGAGTCAACTCAAGTCAGCCTGGAGCTGGGGTCGCACGCCCATCGAAAGAGCGCCACGCACAGTCCTGTCCACCGCAGTCCCACAAGTCCAGCCGCAATCCACCCAGGAACTTGATCTGGCTGCTCTCGACATCAATGGTCGCGCCGAGTCGCCTGGTGTCGGCCGCCAACTGCGACTTGAAGATGATGGCACGCATTGACGTCTTCCCTGAGCCTGACTTGCCCATCAGCAGGACCTGCACGCCCGGCGAACCGTCTGTCAGCTCGACATGACGCTCGACTGATGAGGACGAGAGACGGAAGAGACGGACCTTCTTGCGGGACTTGGACGACATGCCGGGCACGCAGAGCACTCAAGCCAACTGTACAGAGCAAGCGGCAAGCCTTTCAAGCGGTACAAGCGGGATGAGGCTGGTGGTCAAGAGGCGACCCTGTCCGGCGACTCCTTCGCATCCTGCCGCTCACCACGGCTCGCTAGAATGGCTCACGTACGAATGGCGAGGTTCATTCTGTGCTCCTGCACCTCGCTGCGGGCTGCTGTCCGACCTGCGCCTCTCGTCGCGCCTTCTCGCACTCGCTCTTTCCCCGCTTTCCTTCACACGACTCGCCCGCTCTCGCAATCGCTGGAACCGCCCATAGACGATATCGAAGCGCTCGAGAAGGAGCGACAGAAGGCGTCAAAACCGAAGCGAAAGACACCGCCGAAGCCTCGTCCTAAGAAGGAGCTGCCAGAACTGAACGAGGACGACTTGGACGAGACTTTCGTGCGAGGTGCGTACTGCCGTTCCAACGTAATGCTCTCTCGTACCTTGACAAGAAGCGAAGATGCGTCTTGGCATCTTGGTGAATCACTGACAAGGTCCATTTATCTCCTCCTCAGGCGGCGGACCCGGCGGCCAAGTAACGAACAAGACCTCGAACGCGTGCTCGCTCATTCACAGACCGACAGGCATCCGAGTTCTCTGCCACGAGACGAGGAGCAGGGAGACGAACCGCAAGCTGGCGAGGCGGATCATGCGGAACAGGGTGCGTTCCGTCGTTCGCGCGCACCTCGTCAAGTCCTGGGTGTCAATGCGGAGCAGCAGCGACTGCAAATGGCGGAGCGCTGTCTCTTCCCCGAGGCTTGCCAATCTGACTGCCGTCATGCCTCGCACAGCTCGACCAGCACTACTCGGCGCCCGGCGAATCAGCACGCGACCTGATTGCCGCGCGAGAACGGCAGAAGAAGGCGGCGAAGAAGCGCAAGGCGAAAAAGCGACTTGAGGCCAAGAAGGCGGCCAAGACGGGCGAGACTGTTGAAGAGGACGAGGAGGATGGCGAGGAAGAGTGGGATGCGGAGGAGACGCTGCCGAGCGAGAAGGGCGAAGCAGAGACGACGACTGAAGTAGAGAAGCGGTAGCGAGGCGTATTCATCATCTTTGAACCCAGAGACGCCTTCCTCGACGCTGGCAAGTCGGCGTTCGTCTCTGCGCTTTCGCATCGCTCGCTAGCGTGGCGTCATCGCAAGGTGGAATGCAATGCTATGGCAGGCAACAGGATGAACATGCGAGTATGCTATGCTACACGTCCTAGTCGTCAGTGTCGTCAAGAACCATGACATCCTCCGCCTCGGCCGTCTCCTCCTTCTTCGCCCTCTTCGCCCTGCCTCCCTTCGCCGCGCTCTTACTCCTGCTCCTCGCTCTTCCGTTACCGTCCGACTCGCTACTCCTCCTCTTCTTCCCCTTCTTCCGCTTCAGCTTCTGGCTCTCCTGCTCGTCTCCATCCTCCTCATCCTCACTACCATCCTCCGCACTCTCCTCCTTCATGTCCTTACTCTCGACGACTCGAACCACCTCGACCCCGACGCCTGCACCGAGGAGGACGTCGATCCAGACTTTCTGCGTCTCGGAGAGCTGGTCGCCTGGACCTTTGATCTCGGCGAAGAGCGCTTGAGATTTTGACGGGTTCCAGAGGCTGTGGACGCAACGCATGGTGAGCAAGCACAGTTGCCAGAGCGAGGAGGGCGAGACGAACCAGAGGTCGGGAATACCGCCCGTTCGGTGGCCGTACTCTTCAACGAAGACGGTCAGAATAGCAGCGAGAGCCGGTCCACCGATGCACTGTGAGCAACGGTACAAGCTAATCAGCGCATGCAGCCGCAACGGCGGAAGTCTGGTGAACCATCAGCTAAAGCCAGTCGCTCACCTCGATGATCTCGACCAGGTCCTCCTTCGAGTACTTGTCCCAGTTTGTGCCGACTGCGAACGTCGCTAGCGGTCTCTCGCGGTCGTCCGTCTCGCTGAGCAGCTTGACAGCTTGCCCGGCAGCGATTGAGGCGAGGCGGTCGGTGATGGCGGGACGGCGGACTGCGCGAGCCCTTGTCAGCAGAGGAAGGAAGCGTGAGACGAGGACGGGAGCAGCGCACCGATGGCAAAAGCGTCGGTCGCGAGATCGAGCGGTGCGGTCTGGAAGGGCGTCTCGAAGACTCCGTCGACAGTCGCGAAGAGGATGTCCCAGAAGGTGAGGGCGAACTGCGGGAGGAGTTAGTCAGTCGACGGGCGTGGAATTGATGGAGTATGCGCACGATCATGGTCAAGACGCCATTCTCGGAGTGAAAGCTGCGTAATGAACCGAAGTCAGCCTAAGCGAGACTCAACAGCAACTTCGCACTCGCCCTTTCCAACCCTCTCGCACGTACTGCTCCAGGCACAACTCCTCGACACTGCATTCCTCGCCGTCACTGCGTTGCCAGATGCTCTTCTTCCCGATCGTAGGCGTGTCAATCCGCTCGCCCTGCATGAGTCGCTGAGCTGACTTGGCGAGAAGGACGGGAAAGGTGCGGCGGTCTTCTGGCGGCACGGCAAGCGCTGACTCGATGCGACTAATGCGGCGTTGGAGGGAGGACTTGTAGACTGCAAGCGGTTTGCGGATGTCAGTATCAGCACAGCGCGCTGCGTGTCTCGAAAGCTGATACTGAAGGCAAGGCCAACTCACTGAGATGCGTGTACGGGTCCTCGAGCCCCGCCTCGCACACCTTCATCGCCTCCTCCTTCCGCTCGCGCACAAACTTCTCCTTCCGTTCCTTCTTCTTGCCCTTCAACTCCTCCTTCACCTCGCTCGAGCTCGACAAGGCCTTCTCAGCGCCAAGCGGATGATTCATGAGCACGAGGGCTAGGCGGTCGTACCAGTCACCGCGCTTACCGCGGCGGAAAGAGGTCTGCGCGAGGAGGTAGCGGAGGATGCGAACTTCCGAGTCGTGGTCGCCCTGTGAATTAGCACACCCTCGACATCAGTATCGTCGACGTGATAACGCCGAAGCGGGAGGAGAGAGTCGCACGCACCAGCTTCGCGTAGCATGCGGCAGCCTTGTACGCCGCCCTGCTCAGCGGCCAGCCGGGGTGGAACCTCCTCCTGTAGTACAACCTCCTCTTCTCCTCATCGTCCTCCTCGCTCTTCATCTCGCACTCAGCCTCCTCGCACAACCTCCGCCACTCCGCCTCGATCGATTCCCACACTGCCACACCTCGTCTGTACCGGTCCAGCCTCTCTTCCGACGTCTCCTTCTCCGATCGCTTCGGCACGCCAGGACCCCAAACGCCTTCCAGACACTCCTCGAGCTCGCGCTCGATCTCGATCGCGGCTTCGAATTCGCGCAGGACGTGTCGAGAGGGGAAGAGGGCGAACGAGCGGGAGACGGTGTAAGAAGGGTAGTGGCGTTTGCCGAAGCGTGCGAGGAGAGAGGCGGTGAGAGGTGACGCTCGGTACGGGTTGTTGGACGCAAGGTAGGAGGTGCGATGGTAGACGAGGGAGAGGCGGGAGAAGAGGAGCAAGAATGTTGGAGAAAGGCGGATGACCGGGCCTGTCCCAAGCGAGCGCGTGAGCTGAAGCTCGTGTCCCGTGTGTGAAGCTGGAGCGCACCGATGATCTTGAGTGCATGCCTGGCGACGACGCTCGACTGTGTCAGCTTGTTGCCCTTGCTGTCGTAGCCGACACCGAGCGAGCCAAGCGACGCCTTGCGTTCCATCGACGAACTGCCTGTCGGACTAGAGGGTGAAGGCGGCTGAGGCGGCTGAGCAAGGGCGAAGAATGAGAGTGTCGATTGGGACGAGGTGCGGAGAAGCGCTTTCGTCCATTCGCCACGCTGCAGGTTTCGACGTCTCAGCATAACACGTATCGATAAAGAACGCGCTGAACGCACTGTCGCACCACCCTTGACGGAGACCTTCATCTTCTTCCCGAGGCCTACGAGCTCTTCCATGCTGAGCAAACCCAAGATAGTCTCAGGCTTCTCGTCTGTCAAGGCGGCAACGTCGAGAGCAAAGTGCGAGAGGTCGGGCAGGTCGTCTGGCGAGTCAGGCGGGACGAGGGTGCGGGGCAGGACGGTCGGTGCAGGCGTGATGACGGCTTTACCCTTGCCCTTCGCTTTGGCCGAGCGAGTCGGCGTAGGCGAAGGCGCAAAAGGCGCGGTTGGCTTCTCGTCGTCCGTGTCTGACAGCGTCAAGTCAATCACGCCGTTCTCCTCCTTCTTCACCTCGACCTCTTCCTTCGCGACCCCAAGGACCGGCTTCGATTCTTCCTCCTTCGAGTTCGGCGACGGGCCTGCGACAGTTTGGCACAGCTCCGCACACGCGGCGGGAAGGTCGGAGATGTCGTTCGTGTAGGAAGCCGAGTTGAGGAGGGAGGAATGGCGGATCCAGACGGATTTGCGGAGAAGCAAGCGGGAGAAGAGGTACCGCGATTGGTCTGAGGGGACACAACGCCGCTTTGATCAACTCCGTGTCCGGCGAAAGTCCGTCTGGGGCCGTTAACGAGAGGAACGCGACGCACATTGCATCTCCCTGAACCGCCTCAACGCCGCAACCTCGTCTTCCGAGAAGAGGAATGACTCGTTCTCCAGCACCGCATCGACCATTTCGTCCACTGCCTGTACGTAGAACGACACGCGTTGCTCAGCTTTCAGCGAGGCGATGTCGGCGAGCGGTGGGGGAGAGTCGCTCGCGTCGCCCGCTGAAGGTGTGGGAGGCGGGCCGGGCGCGTCCATCGCGTCGTTGCGAGTGCCAGCAGTCTAGCAAGCTAGTCAACGGTTCAGTCCAAGCGAGCGAGCGGGATGGTCAAAGCCAAAGCGATGTCAAAGCTGCTCGCGGCGACTTCCCCTCTTGAAGAGGAGCTGATCAGCTTGTGACGCCTCCTGCTACGAGCCGTAACATTCAACCGAGCCAGCAGAATTCTGCGGTGCAAAAAGAGAACTGACTTCATCGCCCAAGGTGCCTGCGCACTCTCCCACACCTTACTCTGCCTGCTTGAGTTACTCAGGATGCTGCAGACACGGATAGCACGGCGGACAGTTGCCGTCTTGTCGACACGCGCCGCCCTTCGCCTCCCTTGTCCTCCTCATCTCCCCCCGACACAACCCTTCTCGACGACTCGACCCGCCCGCTTCCAGTTCGAAGCTGCGCCGTTCGGCTCTCCAGACGACAGTCTCCGTGACCGACTCGAAGGCGCCGCAGATACCCGGGCTGACCCGCAGTACAAGGTCGAGGGTGCGTCTCTCCTCTCCCTCCGCGATCCGAGTCGAGCTGACCAGTGCCTACTTCCGCACAGCATGGCCAGTGCTCTTTCCCCGAGAGCGCGCCGTCACGATTTCGGAGGTGGCTGCCGCGACGGCGGTGAGCGGGGGACTTGGCGTGAGGATGGGCCTACACCATCTCGCGAAGCGCTTCTTCGGTTACGAGGGGCTGAGACCGCACGTCAAGATGGTCGCCTTCAAAGCGCTGTACCTTCCCGTGTGGTTCGTCGACTTGAGTGCGTCGGCTACGGCAGTGATGGGGGACGAATGGTACAACTTGACAGGTGAGCAGTCTGCGCTCCGCCATGCGCCCTTCCTCCTCCACGCTGACTCGTCCATCATCCAGTCGAATCCTTCCGCGTCCCGATACCCGGCTTCAACCTCCCGCCTCTGACCGGCATGCCCATTCGCATCCCTGAAGACGACCCCTCTTTGATCTGGAAGGGCGAGGACTTCGACCCCTCCATCCCCACCATCCCGTTTACCCGCCACCCCCTTAACATCCCTCAGAAGCTCAAGGCTTTGCCTCGACGAGTAGCGCGCGACGAGGACGACGTCGGCTTCGACCCCAGCCGAGCAAAGTTCCGCATGATCGCCAACTACGCTACCTACATGCCGGTCTATCTGGGCGAGTGGGAGGTGGAATCGGCCGAGTTCGAGTCCGGCAAGACGAGGGTCACGACGTGCATATTTGCCGACTCTCCCCAGCCGGTGCGTTTGCCCTCCCTGCGCCGCACACCCATCGACTCCTCCAGCTTCAAACTGACGCGATATCTCCGCAGCGCTTCTGCATGTACCTGCAGAGGACGCCCGACAGCCAGCCCGAGTGGAAGCCGGCTCCGGCATCGACTTTCACGCTGTCCATTTCTGCGCGTCCCGCCTCGGCAGCGGTGTGGGCTGCTCAAAGTGCCAAGAGCAACAACTTGAAGAAGGTGTTTGGTGAGCGGCTGCAGGCGGCGATTGACGAGTTGAAGGCGGAGAGGGAGGAAATGGGCGAGGGCTTTGTCGAGTGGACGGATGTCCTGCCCGAGGGCGGCATCCTCGACTTTACCGCGAAGCATGATCGGGTGTGCTCGCATGAGACGTGGCAAGAGTGAGTTGCGGTAACGTACTCATCCTGTACCGCTCGTGTGAGCTGACCCGAGAATGACGCCTGCTGACCTTTCGTCTGCGCCTCACAGTATAAACGAGGCATATACGGAAGCGCTAGAGAAGTATGAGATCGCTCGCGAGTTTCAGGAGCGAGTCAAGGAGATGGTGCGTCGCCTTTTCATTCTGCGCCGCACTCCCTATCACTCCCTCTCATGCTGCACTCTCCTTGTGCGCGTGCACTGGCTGACCCTGTCTCGTGTGCTTTTCCAGCCAACCAGCAACGTCGCTCTCATTCGCCCCTCCCTCCGCTCGCCCATCCAGCGGATAGACCGCAAGCAGTTGCTGGAGACGATCAGCGACTCGGTTGACGAGTGGCGGGAGTTGGTGGAGGAGTCGAAGCCGGACTGGCTGCGCAAGGCGGAGGAGAACGAGAAGAGCGTAGCCGGGCGTGAGACGAGCAAGACCCGGGCGCGGGACCGTGGCCGGCGAGTGTGAGGACTCGTAGTAGACGGATTGCGCACATCGCAGCACTCGCAACTGCATCTCGTCGTTCACCACTGCCTTCTTCCGTCGCTCCTGGCCGCGCCTCTTCGTTCTTCACTCTCCTCAACTTCCTTCTCCTCGACGCGATGTGCGCCACCAGCAGTGATGCACGCTGTTCCATTTGCACACTTGTCAACAGCCGCTGCATGCTTTGACCCGGCGTGACCTTCATCAAACCTCGAGCGCTCGAGCTCCTGTTTCCCTTTGTCCTCCTCGCCTACCCTCCTCCCGCTCGATGACCCGCTACCATGCTCCGCCAAACCTCTGGCACGATGCTGCTTGCGCGCCGGGCCATGCCCGCTCCCACGATGGCTTGTGTCGCGCAGCGCACTTTCTCCCCGCTTCGCTCGCTCTCGACGGCTCAAAGACCCGCAACACAGGTCCGCGTCACGCCTCCGGATCCTGCGATCGAGTCGACCCTCATCAGAGGTCAACATCTGACGCCGAGCGTGACGGAAAAGGTCCAGAGTGAGTCCCGCCGCTTCTTCCTCAGTACTCGAGTGAGCGCGAGGCGGTTGTTGATATGCATATGCGCCTTGCTTCGCAGCGTTCCCCTTCAACATCCGTCCTGCGCTCGCCAGATATTCTTCTAAAAAGGCTGCCATCGCGGTCATCAGGCCGCGCAGCGTCGCCCGCCGCGCCGTCGAATGGCTGCTATCGAAAGTCCTCAGTCCTCACTGGTTCGCGCCCTACGTCAAGAACCTTGCGTTCAAGCCAGTCCTTCTCCCTGTCTGGTTCTTCGATCTGAGCGCCAAAGGCAGAGTTGCGGCGGGGTCCAACTCCTTCGAAGTTAGCTGTGCGTCCGGCAACTCCTCCAGTCATCGCTCGCAACTCCAGCTGACAAGCTTCTGAGCGCAGACCTCCTGTCCAACAAAGCCGTTCCTGGCTGCGACTTGCCGCCCCTCTCGAACGTCGACATCACGGCCTTCAGCAATATCCCTTCTGTGCCTCACGACCCGGCCAAACGCACGACCGCCTTCGGCGACGCTGTCGAAGTCCTCCCCTTCACCCGTCACCCCCTCAATATTCCTCAGAAGCTTCAAAAGCTGCGAACGATCACAAATGGGAACGTCGAGTTCGCACCTAGCCGACTCGACCTACAGACATGGGCGACGTACCCCGTCTACATCCCCATCTACCTCGGAGAGTGGGAGGTTGCGCGAGGCTACGGAGGGCGGGATCTGGAGCGCGTGACGACGGCAACGTACGCTGCTAGCGGGACGCTGTCCCATGTGCGTCCGCTTCATTCACCTTCTCCCGCACCTAGACCTTCTGACCTTCTCGTTGGTCAGCCTCTTGTCTACGGTCGCAAGATGGGCAAAGGCTCGCCGAGCTGGTTCAAGCGGTTGCTCTTTCGCGGTTACCAGCAGATCGCCCCCGAGGGCCCAGTGCGACCCGAGAACATCGTCTTTCACTTCTCGAGGTCGGACTTGACCCGATACACTGCTGAGAAGCTGTTACGGAACGCGGTCGACCAGCTGCGCAAGGAGCTGGAGGAGAAGGGCGGAGGATGGAAGGTTTGGACGGACGAGATGCCGGGGCAAGTGGACGACTTTGCCGCGAAGCATGACAGAGTTATGTCGTACAGCCTGTGGAGCCAGTGAGTTGCGGCTGTTGCGCTCTTCGCCCGTCGGCGTTTGTCGAGTCCTTCTTTCGTCTCTGCGGAGACCTAACGCCTTGACATCCCGTAGGATCAACCAGGCCTACATCCACGCGCTTCATGGGTACACCGAGGAGCGACTGAAGCTGAACTACGCGCGAAGCATCGTGCGTGGTTTCGAGCCTTTCTCGCCGTGTACTCAAGCTGACTTGTCGTTGGGTCCCATCTTCTCGCTTGAACCACTTCTTTCCCTCTCTGCGCGCGGAACCCAAGCAGTACCACTATCCAGGATCAAGCATCGGGCGGGAAAGCCCAGCTGTCGGAAGTGCTGAACCGCCTCAACGCAAGTGTCGACCAATGGCGCCGGCTCGCTAACCTCACGCCCGTTTGGCTGAAGCCGACGATCGAGAAGGAGGCGCCGATGATCAAGATACAGGATGCGACGACGAGCGCGAAAGTACGAGGGCGGCCAGTCAACCTCGCGAAGAGGCCGTAGGCGTTCGCGTCCAAGCCATTCATCCGCTCTCGTCCGTGTCAGTCATGCGTACAATCGTGATGTTGCAGTAGATGCGAGGGAAAGCGATGCCAGATGCGAGAGAATCGAGTTACGCGAGGTTGCGAAGGTTACTCCGGTACGAGGAAGCCTACGAGACAATTCTCCAGGAGTGTCTCGTAGTTGACCCATGCGTGAGCGAGCACTGCAGTGAGAGAAGCAGGAAACGAACTGTAAGCAATGCATGCGTGAGAGGAGGAAACCGAAGAGGGACGAACTGAAGAGATGTGTAGCTGCGGAAGGGGATACGAGCAGGGTGAGCTACTGATACGGAAGAGCTCCTTAAGCACCGAGCAGGTATCGGCGCAATTCGCCTCCTCAGTCGCAGCAGTACCGAGCGAAACATCGCAAAAGCTCACCGTCCTTTCCTGCCGCCCGCATCATCTCCCCTGCTCCGCCCGGATGATACCGCAAGAACGGCCCGACGTTGTAGACCTTGCCGTTGTAGACCTGCCAGCAGTCTTCTCGGGTATTGTGCTTGGCGAGTTCTGAGGGCGTGATGCGCATGAGTGTGGTGACGCCGCCCTGTAAGAAGGAGGGGTCAGCCATGCGTTTGAACGAGCTCCTCACATCACACGAGGCGCGGCGTCAACCGAGACGACCAGTTCAACGTTTCGAGAGCGAACACGCCTTGTGAAGCGCAGAAGAACGCACCCGCAAGTCCACCTCTCCGCTCCGATTCAGCTTCGCCCAGTCCAGCTGACTGAACCCCTTCTCCACCCGTACCCGCCCTCGCGGCGCCTTCACCACCTTCTTCGTCGTCGTAGGCGGCGCGAGCGTCGACCCTGCGCTCGCGGCACCAGACCCGTCGACTCGGATGGACGGTAACGCTGGCTCGTCGTCTTCTACGTTCGTATCTGCATCATCTGGTCGGTCGTCGGACGAGTCGGAGGGGAGGGAGCCGGGCGGGGAGAGGGAGAAGGAGGGTGCCGAGGATGCGGGCGGATCTGAAGGAGCGGGCTTCGCTCGTTGGTGCGAGTTGACGGCGGGGAATGCGACGCTGGTCGTGTCTGCTTCTGCCACGATAGACGGCGACGCGCCTGAGCCGCCCCATCCCAGTGCTTGCTGCTCGAGAGATGAGAATTGGTCAGTGGGAGGAGGGAAGGGTGGAGCGACCGCTGCGCACCGTGATTGTACTGAGCATGCTCTACAAGTCTTCAAAGCAGTCTAGCAAGCCGAATCAGCCAGTCAGAGCGAGCGAGCGGTGAAGAGTGGCCACCCAACCTCTCTCCGCCTCGTCCATTCAACGAGACTCGCTCGAACAGCCCTCTCACGCCCTCGTGCGGGCTGGAAAGGCTACGATGGACCGACGGCATCCTCGGCTAGACCGTCTCGAAGCGACACACTCGCCAGCGCCGCTCAAGTCGACCTGCCTCTTCCTACTCCGACTGCACTGGTCTGGTGCGTTCATCGCGGTCATCTCGCAGTCAGGGAGAGCCGATGAAGGTGCTGACGCTTCGAATGTGCGTTTACAGCCGTGACGGACGTCGGAGACACGCCTTATGACCTGATCTCGACTCTCCTCCCTCATTCTACCGCTCCGCAACTCCTCGAAATCGAAGCCAACTCGCCTCATATCGCTCAACACACGAACCGTTGCGTTCACTCCTCGCTGATCACGCTGAGATGTAGGCTGACGAGTTGCGTGCCGAACAGACATCTGGCGAGACTTGTGTGTTCACGAGTTTATCGAGGTGCGGAAGGCGGTCGAGGACGGGAGGATGAAGAAAGAGGATGAGCCGGCGAGCTGGCGGGAGCAGTATGCTGAAGAGGAGGTTAAGCGAGAGGTGCGTTCCGGCATCGCCTTTCGTGCGAAGCGAGGCTGATGTTCAGCGACGGCTCGCAGGTGAAGATGCAGGCCATCCTTTCGAAGATGCGAGGGCGCTATGAGGACTACAAGGAAGGCCGTGCATCAACGCAGCTTGTCAACGGTGCCGCACAGGAACGCCGAAGAAAGGCAGCACATGGACCAGGTACGTTTCTTCCGCTTCGCAACCTTGCCATTGCTGCTTCTCACACCCGCCGTCTTTCACAGCTCGACCAAAGACGCTCTTTGACAAGGCGAGGTCCAACGCGAAAGGCATCAAGGCTATCTATGCGCCCAAGAAGCGCTTCAGCGGGATCGGTCCTCGACCTTCTCCATCAACCGCAGCACCTTCAGCACTTCAACCAACAGCCAAAGCGTCTGCCCCGGTCGAATCGAAGCCTAAAGCACATGTCTCGCCCGTCAAGCGGCCAGCGGATCGACCAGACGAGCCGCCCGCGAAACGGAAGCGACCCCTCATCACGACTGTCACTCGAAGAGTCTCCCGCCCTGCTTCCGCCGTCTCCACCGCCTCTTCCAGTCAGACCTCGCCGGCGACATCTCCTCCCCCGTCTTCCCGATCCAGCTCTACACGACCCCTGCAAGGCGTTCGAACACCGTCTTTCTCACCTCCGCCTCCCCTTTCGTCCCTTTCGATCGCGACACACGCTCGACCGGTCGCCGCACTGCCACACCGAGATCGAGTGGATCCGTATGGTACAGCGATAGAAGGGAAGGGCCCTCATCCGCCTCAGCAATCGCCTGCAGCAAACCGTCCTCCCCTTCCACGACCGAGTGCGGGCATCTTCATGCCCAAGAAGCGGTGATCCTATCGTTGTTCCCGTGTTGTTGCAATCTCTATCAGCCAGTTTGCGTCCGTTTAAGCCTGCCCGCTCGATGTATGCACAACTTCACTCTGCCGTCGCTTCGAACTTGCTGTCCTCGACTTCACGCAACTCGCTCAGCCAGCGAAGCGAGTCAAGATGCACCGCTCACGCTCTCTCGTTGCCACGACGCTGCGCTCGCGCCCGGCTCCCACCGCGCGCCGCACTCTCACCACCTCCCGATCCTCATCAGCTGGAAGCGCCCGCTCATCGAAGGCCGTCCTCCCCGCTACGCTCGCCGCCGCGCTCGCTGCAGGCGGTCTGGCCTTTGCTCTCAGCCAGCAGAACGAACTCGAGCTGGATACGGAGCCTGGCAAGAGCGGGTGGGCGACGACTGGCGGGCGGGAGAAGGTGGGGAAGGGAGATATCAGGCCAGAGGTCTTTCTGTGCGTAGCGACGCTTCCATGAATCCTTCTCGAAGCGCACGCTGACCTCGCGGACCCCCGCAGTTGGGGACGCAACACTCACGGCGTCGCCTCGACCTCGACTTCCAACTCGACGCAGATCAAGCGACCCATGGCCGCCCCTGCTCTCTCGAACCTAATTCTGCGCGACCTCGCACTCTCTGCGACGTACGGTGTCGCGGTCGACTCGAACGGCGACGTCTTGCAGTGGGGTCACGGGTACGGCGCGCCTGAGCAGGGCGGAGTCGAGAAGACTCTTACGGGCAAGAACCTCGTCAAGGTTGTCCCGACTGAGGCAGGAAAGGTCTTTGGCTTGTCGAAGAAGGGAGAGGTCTGGGTCTGGGCGTCGGACAAGCTGGCGCAGCGGGCAGGCGGGGCGAGTCTGAGTGATCTGCCGCAGCGGGTCGAGGAGAGCGGCTGGATGTGGGTCCTCGGGAAGGGGACGCTCTGGGGACGCAACGACGGAGGAGGGGTCGAGGTGCTCAAGGTGCACCCCGATGTCAAGCTCGAAAAGGGCGAGAAGTGCGCTCTTCTCTCGTTCACTTCCTTTGCTCGCTCGTATTGATCCACTTTCTTCGCAGGTTCACCTCGCTCTCAGCAGGCGCATCGCACCTCCTCGCCCTCACTTCGCGTGGCCGGTCATTCGCCCTTCCCCTCTGCCTCTCCGCCAACACTCATGGCCAACTTGGCGTCCGCTCCGTCCGCCTTCTCTCGCCTCCACACCCCGGCTCATCCGCTTCAGGCGAGCTCACGATCCGTCTCGAGCCTGATGAGCGATTGAACGAGATGGGCTGGGAGAAGCTGCCTCCTCCGCCCAAGAAGCTCGACCCGCTTCTCCTTCCCGCTGTCTCGCCCCCGACACCCTCAAACCCGGCGCCGAAGAGCGACCACGTCCCTGCTCTCCCCTCGCCCTCTCCTGTCGCCTCAGTGCAGGATGAGCAAGCCGTTGCGCTTCACCCTGACCCCTCGCGCCACGCCGCCCTCGAACGCTCGATCCACTTCTGCACGACACTGCACGAGATCCCGTCGCTGCGGAGCGTGCAGGTCGCACAGCTTGAGGCGGGGAAGAGGCACTCGCTTGCGAGGTTGGGAGGCGCGATGGAAGGCCGGGTGCTCGGGTGGGGAATGAACAGCTACGGCCAGCTCGGTACGCTCAAGCTCTCATCCGTCCGTCCCACGTGTGATTAATCCCAGCTTCTGCAGGCCTCGGCTCCTCTCTCTCGTACCCCTGCATTCCCGCACCAACCGAAATCCCCCTCGTCCGCTCGCCCGCCTACTCCGGCTCGAACCGCCCGATCTCGTGCAAGTGTACCAAGCTTGCGGCGGGCGGAAACGTTAGCTACTTTGTCGTCGAGACGGAGAAGGGCGTCGACCTGTTGGCGGTGAGTCGGACGTCTCGCTTGACGATTGGCGAGCCTTTCGGGCGGCGTGCAAGAAGCTCGCTTGATCGTAGTACTGGATGGGAACTGACTACTACGCATGCTTGCAGAGCGGACAAGGCCAGTACGGCGGCCTTGGCAACGGGATGTGGGCGCACGCGACCAACCCCGTCCGCGTCAAGACTGTCAGCGGGTTGCGAGAATGTGTGTTGCGCATGCACAGCGATTCGCGATCCCAGAGCACTCGCCTGCAAGGTTGCTGATCGTCGTGGCATATGCTGATCGCAGGGAACGACCGGACGAACAAGGTCGAGTTTGTCGGGATCAAGGATGTCCAGGCGGGCGAAGGACACGTCGCTGTCGTTCTCGTGCGTCACAAATTTCTTTCGCCCTCACGCCCTCCTGCGACAAGCTTGCATCGGAGTGAGGCCGTTCAATTGCACAGAGCTGACGCTTCTGTACCTTCACTCGGTAGGACAACGCCGTCTCGCACGCTGACGGCTCTTCCTACGGCCGCGACGTCTTCGTCTGGGGCTACAACGAGCACTACCAGGTCCGAGACCGTCTCTAAACCCACACCTCGTTTCCTACGCTGACACTATTCTCGCTCGCCTCTACAGCTCGGCACCGGCAAGCGCTCCAACCTCCCTACGCCGCAGCACCTCAGCCCGCTCCCGTACCCCGGCGCGTCGCCGACTGTCATCGCGGCTGCGTCTGACAAGGAGAGCCATGAGTCGAGCTTGAGCAGCGGGACGACGAGTCCGATGCCGCACAAGAGGATGCAACGTGAGTTGCAAGCGCTTTGTGCTGACGGCTGTACCTGTGGCTGTGCTGCTAGACTGCGTGTCTGTTGTAGAGTCGCAGAGGCTCACACTGTTCCTTCCCGCAGTTTCTCCCTCACTTCCCACCCCGACTCACCCGCCTCCCCCGACCTATTCCCGCCTCCCTCGCGGCGCCATCGTCGAAGAGGCCATCACAGCAGGCGATGGCGGCTCGGGCGTCTACTGGCGCGTCCTCAACCCGTGAATTGGAAGACGAGGACTTGGAGGAAGCGCATCTCTCGACCATAACTCGCAAGACTAGGACGCCTCGCTCGACGCATGTAGCTGTACGATGTATTCCTACGACTCTCGCTGCTCTAGCATCCACGAATGGCTTCTGTTCCTTCCATCTGGCTTGTCGCTGATGAGAATCGGAGGGGGAGAATCGGGGCTCTGCACGCCTTCGGTTCAGGCGTGTTCCGTCGAGCATGTCCTTCTGTTCCCCGATGGCTGCTGCAAGCTCGTCCGGAACGTGTTGTAAGCGCAGGAGAAGCCAAAGAAGCCATTCCGGGCGTCGTCGCCGGTCTCCCTCCGCCCACATCGTCGCTCTCGCTTGTTCTTGCTTTGACGACCGCCAGGATGAGCACATTCGAGCTGTGGCTCACGCCGTCCATCACCCTCTCGCTCATCCTCGAGTCCGAGAGCCCGGCGCCCTCGTTCATCCGCTGGGCGTCATCCTGGCTTCTCTACTTCCGCCCGGCGCTCCTGAAGCAGGCATTGGCGTACGAGCTGGAGCAGAGGCCGGAGCAGGATGTCGTGTCGGCTGGGACGCTCAGGATCGTCGACTACGCCTGTTTCCGGACCACGACAGCCGAGGTGAGTTTCGAGGTTACCTCGTGCTGTCTGGGCAGACTTGCGCGCGCAGAGTCGCTGCAGCCGATCCCGTTGCGCTCGCCATCGCCGGAGTCCTCTCGAATGCCGCTGACCTTGCTCTGCTCACCGCCGCCCCACCTCGACTTTCGCAGGGAGGTAGTCTGTACCGGCCAGCGGATCCTGACTCGCTCAGCCTGGGCATTGCCGCGTCGGAGAGCATCGAGGTGCCATCATTAGTGCGTCCTTCAGGTCCTCCCACCGTTTCTCGAGCTGATTCGTCTCTTCGCAGGAATACGATCTTCTCTCGACAGCGCTCGAGCGAGTATTGCGGACCTATGCGATCGTGGGTGCAGTACAGGAGCTAGCGGAGACTCCCTTTCCGAGTGATGGGAGTGCGGACGGCGAGTTGAAGGAGTTGTGGAGGATCTTGAAGCCGGAGGCGGAGCTGCCGTCAATGTCGGGCAAGCATTGGCAAGAGGTGCGTCCCAATCGCTTCCTCCGTACCTCTTGTACCGTGACTGACGTGACTTGCTCGAGCAGATTGGCTTTCAGTGCGTCATGCTGCATTCCGCGACGGCATTCTCCGCTCATTTCCTCCGCTGCGCAGGAACGTCTCTCCTGCAACCGACTTTCGCGGCGTCGGAATGCTCGGGTGCGTACTGAGAATGTGGCTGTCGGGTCGGAACGATGCTGACGGAATCCTCGCATAGCCTGCAAGCCTTCCTCTATTTTTCGCGAACGTACCGGGATAGAGCGGCGGAGATCGTCGAAGAAGCTGTCGGTGGCGGAGAGAGCTGGTGCGTGCACCTCACCTCGGCTGGTTGGGCGAGGGCGAACGCTACTGACCCGCCCACTGCTTCGCGCTCGCAGGTATCCTCTCGCCCTCGCCTCAATACACCTGACCGCCTTCGCTCTCGACCTAGCTACCTCCGTACGCGCCCTTCATCCGCTCATCCCCTTTGTCTTGGCGACAGCTTACCGCTTTTCAGCTCTTCCTCCCTTCCAGCGCGACCTTCAGCTCTTCCTCCTCCGCTCCGTCCAGACTCGACCCGAGACCACCCCAGCCGCGTCTTCAGACGCCCCTACGAAGGACGCCGACCTCGATATCGAGCCGTTCCTGCGGATAGCGTCTGACTTGTTGCTGCTCTTCCACTCGCACTGGCGACAAGGAGGCTTTACGGTCATGCGTGAGTATCTCCTCAAAGACTTGCTTTGTTACTCCGCTGTGGAAGATCAAGCATACATAGGACCGTCTCAAGGACTGACCACGTCCTCGTCGTCCTGCAGAATTCGAGCAAACGAGCAAGTCCTTCCAAGCCGCCCTCCGACCTTGGATCCGCCGCGGCATCCTGGACGGGCGGGCGCTCGGATGGGAGACGTGGGATGAAGGAGCGGTCAAGCTAGAGTAGGGAATAGAGGCCGGCGAGACGCCAAGGGAGGATAGACAGGGAGGATTGTTGCCGTATTCGCCGCATCACCTTTGTTGTGCCAGTATGGAACCGACGCTAGGATTGCATAGACCTCTGCTGTGGGCTGAGATGCTTCAATAGCCCGCCGAGCGTGGGTTGTCACTCGCCAGCCTCGTCTTCGCTTCTTCTCCTCCTCCCGCTCACACGCTTGACCCCGCTCGCGCTTCGCTGCCCTCGCTACCGCTTGCTACGCTCTCGCACAACCCTCAAGGCCCTTCTTTTGCTCGCCGCAGCTCATCCGAGCCGTGCGTCTGCGCCTCCATCCCTCATCAGCTCGATGGGGAGCTGACCCTCGATCGCTCACACAGCTCGACAGGACACGCCTGACATGATCCCGCAGCTTCCTTACGACGTTTTGGAGGAGATCGTCGTTGAGGTGGCCTCGCACAACGCCTTCAGCTTGACACAGTATGAGAATGCCGACCTCGCTCGCCTCGCACTCATCAACCGCGACTTTCTTGAGGCTAGCAGGAGGCTGCTCTATAAGACCATCCTCTTGGGCTGTATGAGGCAACAGCACGAATCGCTGACTTTCGAGCTCGGCGGTGTGACGGCGACTGCACAACTGGTCGCTACGAACACTCACCTTGGCCATTACGTCCGCTGCCTTCTGTACAGGCCTTGCGACTATGTGCATTCTGCCTGGGAAGAGTCACAGTCTTCGACGCTCTGGCAAGCACTCCTCCAGGCTTGTGACTGCATCAATTCCCTTGTGATTTGGGGATTGTTCAACTTCAACCTTCTCTTCGGACAGCCAAATTTGCAGCAGCTCAACCTGACCTACATCGATGGCGTCTTGTCGGATGGCATCCTTGATTTGTTGGCTGAGCAGCGGCACTGTCCCGCAGTCTACCTTCGTCTCGAAGCCCCGTACAGGTGGTCCATGCCTTCGTTGCCGCGTCCTAAGCCATCCCAGCCATTGCGTAAGGTCACGTTTCGCGACAACGCTGCGTCCCTCGAACGTGGTTGCGACCTGACAGCTGCAGAATTCCAGGCGGTCACCGAAACGTCGTCCGGCAGCCTCCAGTCTCTGAGAATGACCTTCGATCCGAGTGTTGCCTGGGATTTCTCGAGCTTTCAGCAGCTGGAATACGTGCACCTTAATGAACACAGTGGCGAAAACTGCTTCTTTGCTCAGTGGAACGGGCGCGAAGCGGTGCAACTCTCGCTGCGCAGCATGCCGCCCACGCTCACCACCTTGTCGCTTACCTGGGACGGCACCGTGTACGAGCCTCACGTGCTTGAGGATATCGAGTTCGTCCGCAATTTGCCGACCTCGCTCCTGCGTCTCGACTTCTTCGGCTTCGTCGCGCCTCGACACCTGCAAGGTTTTCTGACGGACCCGAAACACCCGAACCTCACCATTCTCGCGTTTGGGCTGCCTGAGAACTGTCAGGAGGTGGAGGTCGAGCTTGCGGAATGGTGCGTTGCTGGAGGATACCGCTTCGAAAGGATTTAGGTCAAGGATGTGTCGCAGGAAGTCGTCGCCTAGCTCGCTTAGCAAGTTGCCTGCAGTGTAGATGCGTGACAGGTCCGTGTCGAGTCTCGAGCAGCGCAGAGCAGGACACGAGACTGAGAGGTTGCAAAGTTCGCAAGTAGCGCGCGGCGGAGCGCAACAACGGACCGATACTCAGCCCATGATCCTTCTCAACCTCCCGACGTCGACCCACTCGCCCGTCTTCGGGTCCCTCAACCTGCCCGTTCCCCTCTTCGCCCCTCCCGCGGCCGGATCCTCGACCTCCTCCTCGAGCCCCCTCAAACACTTGTAACACCCGATCCATCCACTCGGCAGCGCAGTAGGGTTCTCGACCGGTCCACCGTGCACGACGCACTTCCCTCGCTCGTCAGAGTCGGCGGACGCGGACGAGGGAGGAGGAGGCGGAGCGCGAAGGGCGGGTTGAGAACCTTTCTTGCTGCCTCGACCGAGTCGTCCTGCGCCGCCTGTCGGCGAGTACCACCATTCGAGAAGGCGGAAACCGAAGATCGAGAGAGGGAGGAGGAGGCGGAGCGAGTCGAGCGCGAGAGAGGGGGAGAGGCGGATCAGGCGAGAGAGGATGAGGCGGATGGACGGGCGAGTCGTAGGCGGTGCGCCGTGAGGAGCCGCGAAGAGTTTCTGCAACGGCGTCTGGATCGAGTTGAGGCGTTCCTGCGAGCGAGAGGAGCGTCAACGCGGCGCGACTACAAGCAACAGCGATTACGACCGAACTCACGTAGTCCTCCTGGCCCATCCGTCGCACCTCGATACCCAGCAAGCGGAACCACGGCCTCCAGTACGGGCTCTTTCCGAACAGGTACCGCAGATTATAGACGAGGAGGTAAAGCTCCCACAGAAGGTTGACGTAGGGATACGAGAGTTTGAAGAGGGCTTGCGAGGAGAGTTTGAGGCGGGTGAAGAGGGAAGGCTTGAGCGAGGCGTTGCGGAGGAGGGCGAGAGGGGAGGAGATCGGGGCGGAAGGTGAGGAGAAAAGGTCGGCGTCGACGCCGCCGCCAAGTCGCTCGTACAGGTCGGTCGCCTTCGTCTTCAGGTAAGGCATGAGGACCTACAGTGTTCTCGTTTAGAAGGTGAAGGGCGGAGAAGAGCAAAAAGGCGAACGCACCAGGAAAGCCAGACTACCCGCGACCTCCTTCCGGCCCAGTCTATCGCTCTTCCCCGTCAGCTCAAACGCCGCCTTGGTCTTCTCTTCTCCCGGGCCACCTCGCCCACTGCCCAGCACCTTTCTCCGCTTCAAGCCGTAGAACGTTTCGGCGAAAGATCCGCCGTGCGTGACGAGGTAATGCCGCTCGACGAAATACATGCACAGTGCGAAGAGCGAGTCGTGGTGGTTGACGATGCGGAGAAGGTAGCGAGGGTTTCGTTGCGCAAAGACCTGCAGGGCGAGACGTTAGTTGCGGGAGAGGGGAGAAGGTGGGCTTGGTGAACGCACCGACAGGACATATCGGACGACGGGGCTGAGGAGATCTCGCAGTTGATCTTTGACAAGGAAGAGGGTCAGTCTACGTGTTTCTGCGCCCAAAGGAGCTGTTCCGATTGAGGACAACCTCGCCCTCATCCTCCTTCGCCTCTACAGCAGCTTTTCGGACTAATGAACTCACCTTGGGCTGCCAATTCGAAGATGGAAGGTCTGTACGGGTCCTGCACCTGTCCTGGGCCGAGGTACTCCATGCTGTTCGCTCCGAGAGATGAGGAGGGCTGGGAGGTGGGGGAGACGACGGGCGGTCGGGGGACAGCCTGGGGCGGGCCAAGGCCGGTCGTACGATAGCTTCGAGCTGTATGAAGCCTGTCTAGCGGCGAAAGAAGCGAGCGAGTGAAGCGTTTTGGCGAGAGTTCCCTCCCTTCCCTCGACCGGCTACTCCGCCCAGCTTACATCGCGCTTCTGTTGCTCGTGCTATGGCTCTCAGCGTCGCTGGTAATGCTCATAGCCTGACCGCCGTTTTGCCGGGCTGCCCGCGCGGTCCGCGGAACGCCGTGTCCTCCTCGTCGCTCCTGTCCCTCGAGACGCCTCTCCTGCTCACCCGACTCGCCTGACTGCTGAAGACGACTTCGCTAGCTGCTGGTACTACCGCTTGCTTCTGTCCGGACGAACGCGACCGCCATGGAAGGCGCAGGAGGACCGGCAGGGTCGGTGGACGGCCAGACAGGGTCCTCGAGGTCCGTCATCCTGGTCCCTGCACCTCATACGCGCCCGCTGACGACTCAGCAGGCTCGTACGCCGCTTCAAGGTGACAGGTGCGGATGGACATGCGGGCGGAGGCGAGCATTCGGGCTGACGGAATCGCCTTGCTTGCCCAACACCGGACAGTGAACGCTGCCGGTGAGTCTGCCCGTATGAACCTGCACGAGCCTTCGCTGACTTGTTCTCTACGTGCAGACGATCTCATCAAGCGCGAAGTCTTCCAGCTTCCCTCGCCCTTTCCCCTCCTGCTCCTCTACTCCGCCTCGACTCGCCCAACCACCTCCGCGCAACCCTTCGAGACTCACGAAGGACCGACTGCACAATCAACGGTCTCTCCTTATTGGGGGAACAAAGCCAGCTGGGATGTCGAGGTCGAGAAGGGGACTTGGGCGAGGATTCGGGTGCATGACCGGTCGAAGTGGAACAAGCGCGGGCAGGTGAGCATGCTCGCTTCGTTAGCTCAGCCACTTATGCTGATTCTACGGATTCAGGGTTATTTGGGCGAGGTGACGCTCGGCAACCTGTGGGAACTGTTGCCAGAGACGCATCCCGGCGAGCGTGCGTGCAGCTTGTGCGAGTCGTGACCGAACGAGATTCCTTGACACCCCATGCTCGCAGTCACACTCACGCGCGAACTCGAGAAGGGCGCGGGTAACGTCGCCGTTTCTGGCTCGCTCGTCCTGCTGCTTGAAGCGTTCGGCGCGCCTCGCACTTCGCCAGTCCAGCCGGGCAATCCCCCACTTTCAGCTGTCGCCTCTCCGCAGAACCCTCATCTCGCACCGGTCGGCGCCATCCCGGTAACGTCGAGCGGCTTCATCCAGCCATCCCTTCACCAGCCGACACAGCTCTCCGCTCCCGCTCATCCGGCCTACATTGCAGCAATACCTCCAGTACACGTCACGCATCCCACTCTGTCAGCAGCCTCCTCGAACCGCCCTCGCGCCTACGCTCAACCTCGTCCTTTCCCCCTCGCCTCGACCCTAAACGCCGATGCGGCCGCAGCTTCTGCGACGACCGTCCACCGACGCATGACGCTCGCCGAACATCGTCGCGGCGCTGCAGCGGTAAGTGCAGTCGACGAAGCGCTCGGAACCGACCTCGCGCCTCCCACGCCCTCTTCCGAAGTCCTCGACGACCCTCTCGCCCAACTTTCGGTCTTGACTTCCGCCCGTCCGACCTCTCAAGCCGATCCGCTCGGTCCTCTCCCAGAAGGCTGGGAAGCCCGCACGGCACCAAACGGCAAGACGTACTTTGTCGACCACCGCGAACGGAAGACGACGTGGCATGATCCGAGGAAGGCGGCGCAGCGCGCGAGGGCGAGAGCGGAGAGGGAGGCCAGGAGGCAGGCGGCAATGGCGGCTGTTGCGGCGGCGGCGGGAGAAGGGGCGGTCGTTGCAGGAAGTGGGGAGGTGTCGACAACAGGGACGCCTTCGACGTCAGCGCCGACGCCTGAGCAGCCAGCAGCCCCTTCATCGGCGACGTCGGCCGTTCCGCCTTCCTCTTCTGCATCCGCAACGACGTCCACAGCGATCGCCGAGTCACCGGCCACGCCTGCGGACAACGCGGCTCTCGAAGTCAGCGACGAACAGCTTGGTCCGATCCCGTCCGGCTGGGAAAGACGGACGACACCGAGCGGGCGGGCTTACTTTGTCGATCACAACGTGAGTCGCCTGTCGCTCGAGCTCTGCGGGCGAGGAGATCGCTGCCTATCCAGCTTTCGGTATCTTGTGGGTAAGGCAACTCACTGTCCTTCTCTCCTCACAGACAAAAACAACGACGTGGGACGACCCTCGAGTCCCGTCGCTCAACCCGGAAAGCGACAAGGGCAAGCGCGACTTCCGCCGCAAGCTCGTGCGTCCGCCTTCGTTCCCTTCCAGCCTCCCCAACTCTTGCTGACGTCTTTTCGCAGGTCTACTTCCGCTCGCAACCCGCGCTTCGTCCCCCACCCGCAACAGGCGGCTGTCGCCTGATCGTCCGTCGCGCAAACCTCTTCGAAGACGCGTTTGGCGAGGTCATGAAGTACTCGCCTGAGGATCTGAAGAAGCGGTTGATGGTGACGTTCAAGGGCGAGGAGGGCGTCGACTTTGGCGGTGTCAGCAGGTGAGTCCGGTTATTCTTCCGCCTCGTGACAACCCCAGGGGAGACTGACGCGGGCAATGGGCCGCAGGGAGTTCTTCTTCCTCCTCTCGCACGCAGTTTTCGACCCTAGCTACTGCTTGTTCGAGCCGGTGAGTCCTCAGCTACGGTAGCAGCAGCGCCTCCTTCGCCAACCTTCCCAATCCCGCTCGCAGACGGAAAAGACCAGCTATACCCTCCAGATCCACCCAAACAGCGGCATAAACCCCGAGCACCTCGACTACTGTGCGTCTCGCTCCTCTCTCCCTCTCGCACACCCGCGCTGACCCCGCTCGGAACAGTCACTTTCGTCGGTCGCGCAGTCGGCATGGCCATCTTCCACCGGCGCTTCCTGGACGCTCACTTCGCCACGAGCATCTACAAAGCGTGTCTTGATCGCCCGATTGGCCTCGAAGACATGGCTACAATCGATGCGCAATTGTGGCAGAGCCTGACCTGGATGGCGTGCGTCCGCTCTTCCTTGACACTGTCTTCCTCGCTGACGCTCTTCGCTGGCGCAGCGAAAACGACATCACGGATGTCCTCGACCTCGACTTCACCTCTCAATACGAATCCTTCGGCACGCTCGAAACGTGCGAACTCATGCCCGACGGGGCAAACGTTCCCGTGACGGAGGAGAACAAGCACGAGTACATCCGGTTGCTGTGCGAGCATCGTTTGAAGGGAAGGGTCGAGGCGCAGCTTGAGGCGCTCAAGAGGGGGTTGGGGGAGATTGTGCCGCTGAAGGAGCTGAGGGTGTTTGATGAGAAGGAGCTTGAGGTGCGTGCATCTCTCTCTTCTCGCTCTTGGGTTGTCGGCTGATGGACGGTGCGCAACAGCTATTGATCGGCGGCGTCGAGACGATCGACGTGCAAGACTGGGAGGCGCATACCGACTACCGAGGCTACACCGCAACGGACCAAGTAGTCCGATGGTTCTGGCAGGTCCGTCCCTCCTTCCCCTCATCCTCACATCCCCTCTCCGCTGACGCCCCCTCACGCAGGCCGTCAAATCCTGGCCGGCCGAGAAACGCTCGCGTCTCCTCCAATTCTCAACGGGCACGAGCCGGACCCCTCCGAACGGGTTCCGCGACTTGCAGGGGAGCGACGGGCCGAGGAGGTTCACGATTGAGAAGGCGGTGGGAGGGGGGAAGGGGGCGTTGCCTAAGAGTCATACGGTGCGTTTGCGAGGACTCGCTTTGGATGCTGGTACAGGATGGGCGGCTGAGCGTACCGTGTCGTGGGTTGAAGTGCTTCAACCGCATCGACTTGCCGCCCTACGAATCACTCGAGATGTACGCACCCTCCCTCTCCTCCCGCCTCCCTCCGCTGCTCACCTTCTCGCTGACTCGCTCACACGGGACGCAGTCTCGAATCGAAACTCCTTTTCGCACTCGAAGAAGGCGCAAGCGGGTTCCATGTCGAGTAACTCGCGCCCCAACTTTGGGGCAAGTCGAGTCTACGTTACCCCTTCGCCTACTTTTCCTTCGCCTTCTTTCGACCTCCGGGACATCCGCGCATCTTCCTCCTCATCTTGACAACGCCTGTCGCTCGCAACCGACTCACTCGCTTCGCGACCACCCGCGCCGGCTCGACTCTACCTTATCCCCCCTCGCCTTTCCTTCCTTCTCTCCTCTTTTCAACATCCTTCAGACGCCCTTCGCCCTGCTCCATCCCTCTCCACGATTCGCAAACTCCATACGAGCCGCGACTCGTCGAACGCAAGAATCCGCCTCTCCCTTCTCGTCCGGCTTCCGCACGCAAGAACTCCCGACACACCTTTCCTCATTCTTCTCCCGTTCTGTACCTGTTCGACGCGACCGCGGGACGGGTATATTCATTTCGTTGCACGACTCGTGTGAGTAACTTAATGTAACTCGCTCCCGGTTCCAGTACCTCTCGCGCCGACGGAATGAAGGAAGGTCCCGTGTTCTAGAGACTCCAAGCGAAGGGGATTTACATTACCTCTTCATTGCTCCAGCGCGGCCGCTCGAGCTCTTCGAGGAGAACGAACGGGCGAAGATCCCTTACTTCCCCTTCTCCTCCCCCTTCCCCTGCGCCAACCTCCACCCAAGTACCTCTGCACTACCGTCTACTGTACAGTAGCGAACGCCGGGCGGCACAGCGGCTCGTTTCCAGAGTCGGCACGCAGCTTGCTTGGGTCCGCAGGCGGACTGGGCTCGGACTCGGGTCGGTGCGACGAGCCAAGCAGGTCTGCTCTGGTCTCGAGATGAAAGAGCGGGGTTCCTGCGCCTCGCCTCGAGAGCAGGGAAGCAAACGAACGAAACGAAGCGAAGCGCGAGACGTTGGAAATTGATCGAGCGAGCGAGCAGAGCATCCACTTTACGATCGACGCTTGCCAAGCTCCGTATCCCGTCCGGTGCCGGTCAGGTCAAGTGCACCCGGTTTCGCGATGCGTCGCTGGGTCCTGGGTGCATCGTCGATGGGGTCGTTGAAGGGCGAGTCACTTCGTCGGAGGAGGGAGTGCAAGAGGGGGAGGGGCGGGGATGAAAGTCGGCCGAGGTGAGGAGGAGCAGAGCGGGAAGGAGGGGGAGCTCCATCGATGCCCCAGCGGGTTGGAGCGAGGAGGCGGAGGAGAGGTTGGAGTTGGAGCTCGTCGCATCAGGCACGGGGAAGGGGTTCGAAGATCCCTGACTGCGCTGTTGAGCTTCGGTGTGTGTGTGAGACGGCAGAGCAGTGCCCTTGCTTGCTTGGACAGCGACGACGAGGAGGAGTGAGGGATCGAGGGGGAGGAGAGACGGGAGAGGAGGTTCCGCGGAGAGCGCGTCAGTGCTGGGGCGCCAGGAGCAGGGTCGAGCGCATGCACGCAGCCGAGTCCGCTCGCTCGTTCTCCTCGCCGTCGCTGCCGTCGTCGTCGAAGCGGGTGCTCTCCTTTGTCGAGTGGATCTCCCTCTCGCTCAGAGTACTCGAGAGAGAGCAGGGCTGTCGAGCTCACCCGTTAGAGTACCCCGCACTTGTGATCGGGACCCGTCAGGAAGCGAGCGAGAGCAGCGTCTCGCGAAAAGCTCCCCCCTCGCCGCGCCCGTCCCAACCCAACCCAACCCAGTGCGAGCAGAGCAAGGAGCAGGAGCAGAGCCCGTCGCGACACCCGCACCCACCGATCCACTCGTCAGCAACTCACACGGCTCTACCTTGCCCTCGGTCGAGACGACGACTGATCCCATCCGACTCGCTCGCTCCCCACGCTCACCGTGGGTCCCCTTGCGCGTTGCCCCTCGCCTCTCTCACACACTCACTCGCCGGATCCCACCACCCACCGACAGCATAGACGCCCCCCGACGAGCTGTGGCGAGCACCACTGGCTGGGCGAACTCTCACTCGAGCCCAACTCGCGCGGGTCGGACGAATCGCTCCCTCGAGTCTCGTCTCGGTGTGGGCCCAAGGTCGCGTGCAAGGTGCGTTACCCAACTCTCTCGTCCCGTTCTGCTATACCCAGCACTCCCCACGGTGCACGCGGACTCGTTGCTCGCTCGATGCGGTGCGGAGAATTGGGTCTCGTTCGGCCTCGGCATGCGCTCGCAGGCCAGTCCAGCGTGCTCGGACAGCTTGCAGTGCTCGCACAGGGTCCTCTACCAGCCAGGCGACACGCCCCGGACGAACGCGCTGACCAACTTGCTGCCGTCACCCTTGCTTTCCCCTTCCCGCAGTGCTTCGAAGCATTCACTCAGCACCGCCCTTCCTCGCAAACGGACTCGACGACCGAATTCGTTAAGGACGCACGAAACTGAGCAGTTGAGGAGCTACTAGGGGCCAGCCAGTCGGGAACGAGCGACCTCGCCCAACCCCTCGTCCTTCCCGTCCATTCCGCCCATCTCGTCCTCCCTCCTCACCTCATCGCGCCCAAATGCCCTACGCCACTCCCTCCCCCTCCACCTCCCCCGTCAGCACCATGACCCTCCCGCCCGCTCCCCCGCTCTCCCTCCCCTCCCCTCGGACCGAGAAACGCCCGACAAGACACCACCACCGCTCGCACTCTTCCGAACCGGTCGCGAGCACGAGCAACTTTATTTTCGTGCAGCCTGCGACGCCAGAGTCGGGGGCGTCAAAGGCCGAGAGGAGGGGGTACTTTTGGGCGCACACTACCGCCAACGGAGCGGGAGGGGGGAGCGCGAGTCCAGGTGAGGCAGGGTCCGGGTCGAGTAGTCCGTCGTTCAACACGGTTCCGCGACGACAAGGATGGATACGACTCGCTGCTCTCACGCCTGCTACGACGACGGCAGGAGGAGGGAGTCCCGGCCCGTCGTCGCAGGAGGAAGGGTCGGATGGAGGCGCGTCTGCGCGAGTCGCGGCTGCTAGGTCGCCTGGTTCGAACCCGACCGTCTTGCCCAAGGTCTCCTCAACGTCGACGTCGACGGCGGGCGGGATCTTCCAGAACGCCTATCCGTTCGGCGAGACGACTCGCGGACGGAGTCCCTCGTCCGCCTCGGCATCCGACTCGGCCCTCGCCTCAGGCGACGAAGTATCCACCCCGAAACCGGCTCCGATGCTGCGCAAAAAGTCGGGCGAACTCGTCCGACCTTCTCTAAAAACCGATACGATGAGGAGGGACTTTTCCAAGCCTCGGTCGGCACCTACGACGCCTGTCTGTCCGAAATACGTCCACTTCGATACCCAACTCGAACACGTCAAGCATTTCCTCGCGCAGCAACGACCGGCGGCGGTGTCGAGGTCGGGCAGTCCGGTCGAGACGGAGACGGAGGACGAGCCAGAGGCGTTTCCGTTCCCCGCTATGGCGACGCCTCAAGCAGGGACGGTCAAACTCGTCTTGCCGAACTTTCCGTCGGCGATCGCGCGCGCCCAGGCGCAGAGGGACCAGGACGTCTTCGTCGACTCGCTCGAGATGACGCCCGACGGTCGGTCGATTCGCGGACTCGTCAGGGTCAAGAACCTCGCTTTCGAGAAATGGGTCGCGGTGAGGTTCACGCTCGACAACTGGCAAACCGTCAGTGAAGTCTCGGCAGACTATGTCGATTCCCTCCCCGGCGCGGACCGGTTCAGCTTCATGATCCGACTGCAGGATTTGCTGGCTAGGTTGGAGGAGAAGACCATGTTTCTCGCCGTGCGGTACACGGTCGGCGGGAAAGAGATCTGGGACAACAACGGCGGGCAGAACTACCGCATCGAGTTTCGCAAGGTGCCTGCCTCATCGTCGGGCGCGGCGCAGAGGGCGGCGGTTTCGGCCGCTCAGCAGCAGAGGAAGGCGGCTTGGAGCGTGACGAATGCTGGTCAGGCGGCGGATCGGATGGCGGATCTGAGGCGCGAATTGGATCGGCTCGTCAGGGAGGACAATTTCGACGACGACGATGCCGGCTCCGCCTCTTCTTCCTCGACTCTCGCAGGCGACTCGAACGTCACGGCCGGATTGGGCCTCTCGTCGGCTTCGTCGGGTCGAAGCCTGCGCCTCGGGCACGACTCGCGCAGTTTCTCCGACTCGGTCTCGGGTTCGCTCTCCGGCCGCTACGACTTTGGCAACTCGCTCAAGATGTACAATGGCGGTACAGGCGCGGCGGCGGTGGCGGGACCGCCGCAGAAGGGGACGAGCTCGTTGAGGGAACGGGTCGGGGCGAATAGTCCCCGCTTTGTCGATGGCTTGCCTCATCCGGTGCGTTTCGGCGTGCTTTCCTGGCCAGTGTTAGCGGTGACTGACGCTCCTCACGTCCCGCAGGCCGCCTCCCAGCCGTTCTTTGACCCCGTCTCGACTTCGCCTCAGCGTCCTCGCGCACCTCCCCTCCCCGTCCCCTCGTCTCCGCCGCAGACTTCCTCGGCGCCGTACTCCACGCAAATCATCAACGGCCACCCCGCGACCGTCTTCGAGCCGTCGATCCCAGCGCCGATCAACTCGCACCGGAGCGACTCGCCCACGCAGCAGCAGCTCCAGCCGGACTTTGGCTTGCCCAGCGCGAGCCTCAAGCCGCTTCAGACGTCCATGGCGATGGCTAGTACGTCTGGGACGTCGACGGCGTACTTCTCGCCCACGCTGCCGAATGCCACGCCGCGCCCGCATAGCCCGCAGCAGGACTCGGGTCTCCCGCCTAGCTACTTTTACCCGCCTGGCAGCAACGTAGGTGGGTTGCCGTACCTCCCGTTGCAGGACGCGACGACGCACGGGTACGGCGGCGGAGTCGCCGGCTCGACCAGCCGTGTGAGGTACAACACCCACCCTGCCGGCGCGAGCGGAACGACCGGCATGCAAGGTCCGAACTCGCCTCGCACGAGCACCTACTCGCCTCTCGTCCCGCCTGCGTTCCGCGAACACCGCTCCCGCCTCTCGCCTTTCTCGTCGCCCGCGCCCTCTCCTCCGAACGGCATGTCGCCCAGCGCCTCGCCGCCCGCCTCGACCTCCCCTCTCCCCGCGACGCGCAAGCTGCGCAGTCCGCCGCCCGAACGCGCAGACGACAGCGACGACGCAGGCTCGTCGCAGATGTGGAGTCCGGCTACGACCGACTCGTCGACCATCTCGTCCGTCTCGTCTGGCTCGTCACTCCTCTCGGACCACAGCGGGCGGATCCATCCTCGGCGCGAGGACAGCGAGAGCTCGACGAGCAGCTTGCTCAGTTCGCCCGAGAGCGACGCGACCAGCGTCGCCCCTGATAGTCCGTCGTTCGTCCCCGGCCAAGGACCGGCAAAGGGCCCGATGAACCGCCCCAACTCGGCGCTCGAGTTTTCCAACTTCCTCGACCGGTACCGATTCCACCTCGGCTCGTCGGCGACGTCGTCGAACGCCTCGTCGCTCGGATTGTCAGGCTCGTCGTCCCCCACGACCGACTTCTTCAACTTTACCTCCGCCGCCGTACCGATTCCCGGCACGATGACGCCGACGAGCTCGTCCGACGCTGGATCGGGGTCCAACTCGCCGACACCGAAACACCTCTCGCCTCTCGCCGTCGCCGTCGCTGCGGCTGCGACTTCTCCAGGCGTCGTCACGCCCACTATGACGAGCCACCAGATGGTCTCGTAGGTTCGCCTCCCTCGCATCTCCACTTCGTCCATTCGTACAGCTCTGCGCCCCGCCGTGTACAGCCGTTCATCCCTCAGTTCATAGCCTTTTCACCCTCTTCGTCGTTGTCTCGATTCGTCTCTTTCCTCTCCCTCTCTCTCTCTTTCGCCATTCTACACGCGCATAATCTTGTCTCCCTTTCCTCTCCTTCTCTCGCTGCATCTTTCCTCACTTCTTCGCACAAAAACTCCCTCTCTGCATTTTCCTCGTCTGTCTCTCCTCTCTCTCTCTCTTTGCACGGGTGCCTTCTCACGTAGTCTACGGTCGGAATACGAGCTCTCATGGCCACACGAAACAGGGCTGCGCCGCAAGGGAGAGACGTTGCGAGCGAGCGAGGAGAACGGATGCGGTGGCTCTCTCGACGACGAGGCGAAGCAGCTGAAACTGATGCGAAAGGATAGATTGACAACAGAGAGGCATGAGGGAGGCGACGCTCTGCGTCCGCCGAGAGAGCGAGAGAAGATACAAGTGTTCGTGTCTATGAGGAGATAGGTCCGCTCAGCAGGCCGTGTACAGCACGCCTCGATCAACGAGAGTGCGAGGAGGGGGCGAGGGATCAGTTGATCCGCAGGCCGAAGCCGCGGAAGTAGGAGTACTGGAGGACGGGCGAGTTCTGGTGGCGTGGAGACAGGTCAGCCTGGGCTCGTTCGACGAGGAGGAGCCGACTCACGTAATCGCTCGTCGAGCCACCGAAGAAGGTCTGTGCCATGGCACCGAGGAAGCCGGGGATCTTGGCAACCGTCGCCCGCTTCTCCTTCTTCGCCTCGAGTTCAACGACGTTGCGGCGCTGGCGGCGGTTCTCGTTGTCGAAGCGGTAAGGGACGGGCGGTGTAGTCGTAGGGAGCGCTGAAGTCGCTGTCGGGTTGAGGATCTTGGTGACGAACGTAGGCTGGAAGACGCCGCTGCTGACGGGCGCCGACGAGTTTCCGGCGGGGTAGTCCTTGAAGCCGCCGTTCGGGATGACAACGTCGTCGGGAATCGAGTCGTAGTTGATCAGGGTTGCGATGTCGCCGGTGCTGGTGCCGTTCGAGACGAGGCCCGAGACGGAGTTGCGGTAGTAGACCGTGTCCGAGTGCAGCGCGATCTTGCCGTTGATCCTGCGACGCGGAAGCTCGTCAGGCAGAGCTCGAGGATCAGGATTCGAAGCATAACGCACCAGATATTGAAGCCACCGTCAGCCTTGCCCGGCGTGTTGAGCCAGATGTCCTGGCGAATGTCGGTCCACTCGCCCGTCTTGAACGTCCAGCTCCCGCGCCCGATACTCATCCCGTAGACCGAGTTGCAGAAGCTCAGAGGCGGGAGCGTGCAGAGCGAGTCGACCTGCTTCTCGCGCGGCGCGTACAGGTAGAGCTCGCCCATCCCGCCCTTGCGGAACATGAGGCGCGTCGAGAAGCAGTCTTCGGCGGCCGATCCGCCCGAGCAGGCGGTCTTGCCGCCGTAGAGCCCCGGGAGCTTGCCGCCCTTGACAAAGTCGAAGCCGACGGGGAAGAAGACCGAGTAGCTGAACGAGACGTTGGTCGCCTGGGTGATGTCGACTGCGGCGGGGCGAGAAGGCGCGTCAGTTCAGGGACATCTAAGGCAGAGCAAGGGTAGGCGACGCACTCTTCGAGGTGTAGAAGCCCATTCCTCCGATCGGTAGCGCAGACGGGTTTCGCGATCCAGCTGGGTAAGCGACCTGAAGCGCGCTCTTCGAGTCGCCCTGGACGCCGCCAGTCCACTTGTCGGCAGGAACGCCCTTGCCGACGACCTCGACGTTCATTCCGCCCGCCGAGTCGCCCCACGAGAAGCGAGCGTTCTTCGGCACGTCCTGCTTGAACGAGTCGAGCGAGTAGAAATTGGTCTTCTCCTTCCAGTAGGTTACGCCGTCGGTCAGGCCGAGGTTTTGCCCGTTTGTGCTCGTCGAGGTTGGCTTGGCGGACGAGGTCGTGCTCGACTTTGTTGGCGTGGACGTCGCCTTCTTCGTTGTCGATGTGGACGTCGCCTTCTTCGTCGTGGCCGTCGTCGAGGTGGCCTTCTTTGTCGTGGTAGTCTTGCCTTGCGCCGACAAGCTCTTCGAGGCGGACGCCGCCGCCTTTGACGACGATACCGACGCCTTCGATGCCGCCGCCGCACTCGCCGCACTAGCCCTCAGCCGCTGCGCAGGCAGATAGGGGGTCGGCGAGTGACCCGCCTCGATCCTCGACTCGAGCATCGACATGTACAAGTCGATGGGCGAGAAATTGGCCGGGAGGCTGTCGAGGCCCGATTGGCGCTTCGCGAGGAGGGCGGCGGAGAAGCCTTCGTAGTCGCCGCGACGGGCGAGGGAGCGGAGGATCTTGTCCGAGGAGAGGGAGGACGGGACGGAGGTGAGAGTCGTGAGCGGGGCGGAGGTCGAGCTGGCGGGAACGACGGGAATGAGAGAGGGGGAGGGAAGGGTCACGGCGGGCGTTGTGCGGCCGAGAGAGACGGCCTGCGCCTGGTCCTGCCCGGGAACGTAGAAGCTCGAACCGGTCGAGGTCCAGTAGGAGTCGGAGGTCGAGGCGGCGGGAGCCGCGGCGTTCTTGACGTTGACGATGGCGGGGAGGGCAGCGACCGACTCGCTCAGTGAGAGGGTGCAAAGGAGTGCGGCGAAGAGAGGGGTGGCGACCATGGCGGGGGTGCGGACGAGGCGAAGAAACGAAGGGGGAAGAGTCGGTCCGGTCGAAGGCGAGCGTGTCGAGAGTTGGCGATCAAGCCAAGAGGATCAACCTCGAGATGCACACAAGTAACGATACAAGCGTTCGCGACACGTGAGGCGAGGAGACAGCACAGCAGTCCTGGATGAGTGAACGGGAGGAGGGAGAAGCCAGGAGCCCCTGGAGCGCAGCAGCTCGCCCACCAGTCCCGCCTTCTGTCCCCATTGCGTCTCGTGGCGGGTCCACACCGAGCATCCAACGGGCGAGACGGCTTGCGAGACGTCGGGTTGAACGAGGCGAGATGGCGGGACGAGGCAGGTCAACTCGTCTCGCGGGGGCAGGCGGTGATTCGGTGGTGTTCCTTGACACGCGTGAGCTGTTCTGGAGCTCGTTCGGTGCGGCCATGAGCGTTAGAAGCGACAAGGGAAGGCAAAGAGCGAGAGGAGCAGCGAGAGCAGAGCGAGGGCGTTCGCCAGGCTAGAGCCAGAAGGGAGAGTAAAACAACTACATTCGTGCGAGACAATGACAACAACGCGACAGATTGATAGGGTGTACAACGGAGACGGAGGACGGGGACAACAGACATGGCATTGTAGAAACGAGGCGAGACGAGGGAGACGCAACCGGGACAGCGAGTGAAGCCGGTCAGTCGTGCATCCAAGGCCCGAGTAGACGAGACATCCGGTGTCTGTCGCTGCTTGCGAGCTGTTGACCAGCAGGTCAGTCAGAGTTGAAACGAAAGGACGCGGAGGACGCACCTTTGATGATGCGGTGTACGACATCCCGCGCAGTAACCTTGCCGTCGCCATGTTCCTCGACAAGTTGCAACACTCGCTCTTCATCCGGGAGCGGGTGGGAGAGGTTGTTGCGGGCGAGGCGGATGGAGGCCGTGTCGGGGTCCGTTGCAATGGCGTGGGCGGCCTCGGCAGCTTGCTGAGCCGAAGGGCACTGGCCTTCAGTCAACAGATGACGGGCGAGGCGTAATTTGCGGGCAAGGGGGGCACGGAGAGCGGCGAAGAAGGTCTGAGAGTCGGAGACGGAGAAGAAGGCCGCCAAGCTATCCTGCCACGTTCTCCCTGAGCTCTGGGAGGTCAGCAGGCTATGAAGTAGGGTAGAGACTATCCGTGAACGCACTGCGTTCAAGGAGCAACCAAGCACGATCGATGGTGACCATATCGCGCGGTGTGAGGCGGTAGTCGGGGCGGCCCTGCCAGTCCAGTGCGAGCCGGAGCGCCTCAATGAGGAGGGCTGCAAGAGCACCGGCGTTGGCCGTCTGTTCGAAGATGGGGATGGCCGCACCCCCTCACCCTCTATCGCCAAACCCCTGACCTCGACTTCCTCCCTCTGCCGCCTTCCCTCCTGCAACTCAACCAGCATTCCTTTCTGCCGCCTGTGCTCCTCCGCGCTCAACCTGTCCTGCTCCTCCCGCCACTCGTCCCTCTCCTCCAATGCGCCGATGCGCGTGGTCAGATCCTCCTTCTCCCGCTCACACATCCGCAAATCACCAGTTGGCTCCTCCAGGCACCTGTCCATCTCCGTCGGTGAACTCAAAAAGCAGCCTGTCAAAGAGCGAGAGTCAGGACTGCAGCTGTGGAAAGGGTAGTGCATAGGGAGGGAGCGGAAATTGAACGCACAGTTTGGCAACAATCCCAGGATAGCTTCCGGGTTCAACTCAGGTGCGTACTGCTGTGCAAGGCTAAGAACCATCTCCTTTGATGGAGCAGGATGAGCAGACTCGATTCGCAAGTGGCAGAGGCTGCGCATCTTCGGGTCGTCCACGGTCCGGCGCGCGGCGTCCAAGTAGTCGAGGGCCGACTTGAGGCTCTTTCTCCCGGCGGGCGAGCGGCGAGGCAATGCCGTGCCGTGCAGGAGTTCAAATGCCTGACGAACCTTACGCGCGAGATTCGAGTCGAGCGTAACGTGGAAGTCCTGGACGCCTTCGTCCGGGTAGGGGACGCGAAACCATGCGCCGACAGCTACATAAACAAGCGCGTGTGAGTGGCGCACGTGAAAGCGGGGAAAGACCCTCTATCTTGCGCAGGACGCACTCTCTTCGAGTGCCTCCCAATGCCGCGCGAAACGCTCGAGCTCGGTTGAAGTAAACGGCCGCGTGCCTGCAGCTCCGGCAAACTGCAGCGCCTGCAGCATCAGACCTGATGAAGCTCATGAAACGTCAGCTCGAGTGCGCGGATGTGGGAGATGTACAGCAACAAGGTGGCGAGGCAGTGCGGACGTACCTTCAACCAGCAGTCGGTAGGCCTCGACGGTACATGCCTGCGCCTCCTTCCTCTCCTGCAGAGCAAGCTTGCTCTCCTGCATCGTAAGCTTGCTCTCGAGGACCTCGATGCGCCTCTTATCCTCCTTGCGATCCGACTCGAGTCTAGCGAGGCGTGCATTCCGGTCCGCGCGTTTAAGAGCGCTGAGCCGCTCTGAATGGCAAATCAGTTGGTGCTTAGTTGCTGGCCAGGGCTGGAGGCTGCGCTGTTGGCGGTCTTGGAAGACGAGAAAGGCGGCAGCACAGGAAGAGGAGACGCGGACGGCAAAGCCTGTCGAAACTGCGGGCGCACAGCGCCCGAGTATGTTAGCTGGGCAAAACAGCGGCACGGGCAACACTCACTCGAGCGGTACGGCGCGGGAGTAAGCCAAGGCGAGGCGAGATGGCCGAGTGAGAAGGGTTCGAGAGAGAAGACTGCGTGAGGCGGACGAGTGGCTAGCATGCGCCTTCTCAGCCCGAAAAGCAAGCCAGTGAAGCCTTGTACAAGCATCTTGCTGATGCCCAGCACATAGCAGTGAGCGGGCGAAGTGCGAGATGCGAGCGAGCGAGGTTGGGTGACGACCACCGCGTGCGATGGCACAAGTGGAGCTGGACAGAGTGTCTGAGCATGCTACACCACTCACAATAACGCCACGACTCGCTCTCGAGCTCCGCCTGCGCTTCCTCGAGTCGCTCGTCTCCCCCTCCTCGTCCTCATCTCCTCGACCCGCTTCTTCGACAGTGCCGCTCGCCAGGCGTGTGTCGCAGGTCGCAACGCAGCTGGGACAGGCTCTCGAGCAGTCGGGTGGAGGAACAGAGGCGCTCAAGCGGTTTGTGCAGAACTGTGCGTCCCTTTCCTTGTCGTCGCCTCCCCACTTGGTCGCTCACAAACCCAGAGCGGCTCGCAGACGATGCCAACTCGCCTCTCTTGACTATCGCACCCGTGCCAGCGGCGCCCGACTCGACCGAAGTCCTCCCGCAGGCGAAGGTCGCCCTTATCCTCGAGGCGGAGCAGGAGATCCGGACGCTCGAGCGGGAACTGAGGGAGATTGGTGTCCTGGACGAGCGAGGGGTCGTCGAGGCGGGCAAGCTGGGAGGTGCGTGCGAAACTGCCTTGCCGAGATGGCTTCATCGCTGACCGTTCTTGTTCTCCAGAACACGAGAAGCTCAAGCTTTTGCTTGCCGAGACTCGCAAGGCTGCTGCACCCGTCTCCGCTTCATACGCTTCGCTCGAGCAACGTACGACGACACTGCTGCAGCGCTATAACGACTACGTGCGTCGAATCTCGTCGAGAACCCTTGCTCTGCGGAACCTGACGGTTTGCGCGCGCAGATCTCGACGCTCTCCGAGCTCTTCGTCTCGTGGAACGACATCATGTCTGAGATGGAGGACTCGGTCACCAAGCTGGAGAAGGAGAAGCACCGGCAGCTCGACTACACCTAATCCGCCGGAGACGAGATGAAGATACCCCTCTTACTTGATACCCCTTTCTCGCACTCCTGCATTTGATACCTTTGCATTCTCTTCCGTACTGTCACTGTCCGTCACGAGAGCAATGGAGTCGCAGTGCGCTTCTTCGGACTCGTCGCCTCCGCCCGCACCGCTTGACTCCCTTCCGCCCGCTCCCTCTCGCTCGTACGCTCGCAGACGCCATGCCGGTGAGTGCAGTCGCTCTATTGATGCTAATGAGCGCCGCGCACGCCCTGCAAACGCTTCCAACGCTCCCCCTCGACCCCGTCCTTTCATCTCCTAGTTGTTCCATGTCGGGGTGTGTAGGCCAGCTGGGCTGGCTCGCCGGGGGCTAGAAAAGACACCAGAACCCTTACTAATTGCTCACATCGCTTCATGTACAGCCCAACCTTTCCCACACCCTCCCCGAGGTCCTCTCCCTCCTCCTCCCCTCCTCCTCCTCCTCGTCCCCCTCTCCCGCCGGCAACTGCCTCCCGATCTGGTCAACACTCCCAGCAGACGTCCTTACGCCCGTCATTGCGTACTTGCGGTTGACAGATGGAGCCAAGGATGGGGAGAGTTTCTTGCTTGAGGGTGCGGTCAAGGGAGAGACGGCGGGAAGGTGGAGTTATGTCGGTGCTGGTGAGTCCGCTCGCTCTTCATTCGGCTATATCGCTGGGTCGCCGTACTGGGATGCCGTACTCTAGTACGACGAAGTCCGCTGACCATACCTGTCGCTTCCTCAGGCCCGAAGGAGGTGTACCGGTCAGGACCTGGGCAGGACCTGGGCGCCGTCGACCCGCTGAAACCGCTCGAGAAGAACCTGAGCAAGTACAAGTTCATCAAGTTGCATGGCGCACCCCCCTTCACCGGTTTGTCCCTTTCGTCCCCTTCCTCAGCTTGACTCGCACGGCTGACCTCTGTATGCGTACAGGCGGCGCCATCGGCTACGTCGGCTACGACTGCATCCACTACTTTGAGCCGAAGACCGCACGGTCCGACCTCTCCGACCCGATGGGCATCCCCGAGTCCGTCTGGCTCCTGCACGACACGATCGTCGCGTTCGACCACCTCTTCCAACGCGTCTACGTCGTCTCGCATGTCTACCTCCCCGACTCGTCCGCTTCCGAAGCGACCGTCCAGGCTTCATACAACGAGGCAGTCAAGAACATCGATGCGGTCCTCTCGAAACTCCTCTCGACCGCTCCTCTTCCCCTGCCCGAACAACCACCCATCACGCCCGCCCCTATTCCTGCGAACGAGAAGCCTGACGAACGGTATGCGCGGTTGGACAAGATGTCGAATGTTGGCAAGGAAGGGTACGAGCGGTTCGTGACCAGCTTGAAGGGGAGTATCGTGCAGGGAGAGATTATCCAGGCCGTCCCGAGTCAGCGGCTGAGGAGGGAAACGAAGTTGCATCCGTTCAACGTCTACCGGTGTGTTCTCAGCGCTCTCTCTTTCCGGGTTCAGATCTGACAGCTCGCGACGGACAGACACCTCCGCCAACTGAACCCCTCGCCATACATGTTCTACATCAACTGCGGGAACGGGACGCAGCTGGTTGGCGCCTCGCCCGAGTGCTTGTGCAAGGTCGAGGAGGGAGGGAAGGTGACGAACCACGCGATTGCGGGAACGGTGCGGAGGGGAAAGACGCCTGCCGGTGCGTTCGCCTTCCGTCGTCTTCACCCAGACAGAACAGTAGTAACTGACGCGTTCAAGTGCACGCAGAGGACGCCGCCCTCGCTGCCGAGTTGTCAGCCTCGATGAAAGACCGCGCCGAGCATGTCATGCTCGTCGACCTCGCGCGCAACGACGTCAACCGCGTCTGCAAGCCCGAGACGGTCGTCGTTGACTCGCTCATGCAGGTCGAAAAGTTCTCGCATGTCATGCACCTGACGAGTCAGGTTAGCGGGTTGCTGAGGGACGGGCAGACGAGGTGTGTTGCGAGCCGGCCGCGCTTTAGCTTATGATTCTCAAGTGAGACCACAGCTGACTGAAGTTTTCGATCCGGTTCAACGCAGGTTCGACGCCTTCCGGTCCATCTTCCCTGCCGGCACCGTCTCCGGCGCGCCCAAGATCCGCGCCATCGAGCTCATCTCTGCGCTCGAGCTCGAGCGACGCGGCGTCTATGCGGGTGCGGTCGGACACTTTGACTTTTCGTCCGAGTCGATGGACACGTGCATCGCGATCCGTACGATGGTCTTCAAGGACGGTGTCGCGTTCCTTCAGGCTGGAGGGGGGATCGTGTTTGACAGTGTCGAGGAGGACGAGTATGTCGAGACTGTCAACAAGCTGGGCGCGAACGTCAGGTGCCTCGAGGAGGCCGAGGGTGAGTCGCTTGTTCCCTTCGCTTCGTCGGGTCAAGTAGGGCTGACACTGCTTCTCCGCCTCGCAGCCTACTACGCCGCTCTCCAGGCTGAACAATGACAGGCATAGACGGTATTCGAGCGCAGTAGAACGCAATGCACGCCTTTCCGGGGACTTGTCAACTTGCAGCGGAAAGAGAGGGAGAAAAGCGGCACCCTCGCTCGTTCCTCGCGCTTTGGACGCGTTCGCCGAGTTGCACAGCTCAATCTCGTTGCTAATAGACCACTGGCGAGTCCTCACAGCGACCCTCGAGGATTGTCAACTTCACCCTCCTTGGACGCGCGTGTGCGTCGCGCCTCGTCTCTCATCGCCCACTCACGCTCCGGCTCAGAAGCTCGCTCGCTACTGCTCAGCCAGGACAAGCATGCCATCATCCGACTCGGGCGGCTCGTCATCGCCCGCACCCGCCGCTACGGCGTCGCCAAAGAAGGGCGCGGCAGCGGGGAGACGTAAGAGCTCGAGGGTGAAGAAGGAGATCCAGAGGTTGGGCGGTGAGTTTGTTTCGCTCGCTGTGCCTTTCTGGTATCGTGTGAGGTGCTGTACGGGCTGGGCGGGCGTCTCTCGCGGTTCGCGGGCGGGTCGAGGAGGAGGTGGGGCGTGAGGACGATGTGGATCTTCGAGGACAAGAGGGCTGCGTGCGGGCAGTCCATAGGACTACATGTCACTCGCTCAGCCTCCCTAGGCGCAAGTGACGCGTCCGATCAGCTCGTCCCAGCCATTGACCGGCATTGACATCGCTCTCCTCGCTTCTCCCGCAGCTTCCGGCAAGTCTGCCGCGAACGGTCTCTCCGACGACGACGAAGACGAGCTAGACGAAGACGAAGACGACGAGGAGGAAGAAGACGATGCCGAGTTCAAGGTTCCGACGAGTATCAAGACAGGGTCGCGGAAGCGTGCTGCGGCTGGTACGAACAGCGCGAGTGCGAAGAAGCCGCGTGCGAGTGCGGGAGGGAAGAAGGCGGGCGGAGCAGGGACGAGAAAGAAGAAGGCTGCGGCGGAGGATGGGGATGAGGAGTTTGAGGCGCCGGTCGCGAAGGCTGCGGGAGGCGGAGCAGCTGGGAAGGACTTCAAGATTGAAGACGACAACGGGCTCTTCAGTGCGTCAGATTGACGATTGCCTGGGTCTGCAGCGCCGGAGCGTTGCGAGCTGACGGCTTCGTTCATCACCATTTTCCGTACAGATGCCGTCAAGGACCCGAACACGGCGCTCAAGACGGTCGTCGAGGACTGGATCGAGTCGTACAAGGAGGACTCGGGGCCTGCGATGGCTGAGCTCGTCAATTTTGTCCTGCGGGTGCGTCTGCGCAGCGGCCCTTGGTCTCGCCATTTCGCGCAGGATCGCGAGACTGATAGACTGGTTGTGCGTGGTCCGCAGTGCTGCGGCTGCAACGCTACGATCGACGAGCACCAGGCGGAGGACGAGAATGGCATTGTCGAGAACCTGAAGGACATTGTCGACGAGTTCAAGCAGGTGCGCCGTCGCCACCGGACTGCACGCCCAGTGCGCGCTCGCGGTGCTGATATGCTCTGGGCTGATTTGGCGACCTGCAGGAAACCAACTTGGCTTACCCGCTCATCTCCAAGTCGAAGACCTACAAGAAGTTCCGCTCGTCTCTCGCGCAGTTTCTCTCGAAGCTCGTCTCGGAAACCGCCGTCGACGACATGCTCTACTCGACCTCCTTCTTCGAGCAATTCCAATCCTGGGTGCACGCGCTCTCGTCCTCCCAAATCCGCGCCTTCCGTCACACCGCGACCGTCATCGTCCTCCTCTCGGTCAACGGGCTCTCGACGCTCCATGTCGATGCGAGAAAGCAGCATGCGCAGCGGGTAAGGGCGAAGGAGGCCGAGGAGAAGAAGAGCAGGAAGGACAAGGCCCGCCTCAAGGACATGGAGAAGCAGGTCACTGAAGCGCACGAGAGGCTCGAGATGGTCGAGCAGTTCATGGAGGAGAGCTACACCTCGTGCGTTATACTTCACCGCGCTGTGCCAGCTCTTGCGATTCGGAGGACCTGACACTTCGCCGATTGGATTTTCCCACAGCGTCTTCGTCAACCGCTACCGCGACGCCGACGCCGTCATCCGCGCCGAGTGCATTTCTGCGCTCGGAAGCTGGATGAAGATCGACCCGGACCACTGGATCGACGGCGACTACCTCCGCTACATCGGCTGGGTCCTCTCGGACGAGGTGCGTCGCGCTTGACCGTGTTTCCACGAGCTAGGAGTGAGCGACTGACGGATCATCTGCGGCATGCGCCTCGCAGTCCAAGGAGGCCCGCCGCGAGTCTGTCCGCGCGCTTTTCTCGCTCTACCAGAAGTCCGCCTACATCGGCAAACTCACCCACTTCACCGACCGCTTCAAGCAGCAACTCGTCGACATGGCCGTCGGCGAGCACGACATTTCGGTCCGCATCCAGGCGCTGCACGTCGTCCACCAGATCAACACGCAAGGTCTGCTCGAGGACGAGAAGCAGCGCGATGAGGTCGCCATGCTCATCTTCGAGAAGGAGAAGCGCGTCCGTGTCGCTGCGGCCGAGTTCGTCCAGGGACTGTTCAATGACGCGGTCGAGGAGAAGCAGGGCGAGATGAACGCCAAGGGCAAGACGGCCAAGGGTCGCAAGAAGGGCGGGAAGAAGCAGGACGAGGAGGCGCTTGCTCGCGCTGTCGAGTACAAGGTCCTCGCCGAGCTGCTCGTCAAGTACGGCAAGGAGCTCGATGGATCGCCTGCCGACCAAGACGCCGAGGACGAGGACGGCGAGGGCTCGCAGGCGCGCGAGAACGGCGGCGACGACTTCGACAAGCTTGGCGTTGCGGACGTCCTTCCCGCTCGCATCGGCGGCGCAGATGAGGACGCGTCGGCGACCATCCCGCGAGGTCGAGTCGCGCTCGCCGTCGAGGCGCTGTGGGACTCGCTCGACTTGCTCCAGGACTGGGAGGCGATGCTCGCCTACCTCCTCAAGGATCACTCGCACGGCGGCGAGGCGAACGGTGCTGCCAGGAAGGGGAAGGGGAAGGCCGCGGCGCGAGGGAAGGGAAAGAAGAAGGCGGATCAGGACGAGGACGAGGAGATGCAGCCGCTCGGCGAGGGCGACGAGGACGAGGAGGACGAAGCCGACAAGGACGAGCAGCTGCCCGAGGACGCGCGGTTGACGGAGGAGGAGGAGACCGTCTTCATCGAGATCCTGCTCGCCTGCTTGACGAGGGTCACGAGCCTCACAGCGACGACGAAGAAGGTGCGTGCGCGTTTCCAGGTCTTCTCGATTCCGGACGCTGACGGTATCGCCTCGACAGGACAAGGAGCGGGAGGACGAGGACCAGGCGACCATCGCGCGGGCTGTCATCGATGCCCTGCCCAAGCTCTTCTCGAGGAACCAGACCTATGCCTCGCGCATCACCGACATTCTCGCCATTCCGCGTCTGATCTCGCTCGACCTGTACCTCGACATGCAGCAGATTTCGGTGTGTCGCGTGTCCCGGTTGTTGAAGATCTCGTTTTTGACTCGCCGTGGCTGCAGGCGTACGAGGCGCTCTGGGACGACGTGACGAAGCAGTTCCTCAAGCACACGCAGGCCGACGTGCTCGACCAGGCCACCACGACTCTCGCTCACTTCGTCGCTGCGAACAACCTGTCCGCAACGAACCAGACGAAGCTGGCTGAGCTCGAGGAGAAGCTGGTATCGACGCTTCGCACGTCGGCTGGTGACGATGTCGAGAGCGCCACCTTCGAGGACGACGAGTGCCACGCCTTGACGGCCTGCGTCGCTCGCATCGAGAAGCTTTCGAAGGTCCGCAACCTGAACGCGACGCTCGAGGACACCGACGGCGGCAAGGTCACCAGCGCTCTCGACATCCTCGACGGTATCGCGAACCGAGGCAGGCTCGGATACAAGGCTGAGGCTCGCGTGCGTGCCGCTTTATCCTGCTAGGCGAGGCCTCCTGCTGACGTTCGCCGTCCCTCAGATGGTTGAGCACGCGATCAACGTCCTCGCCGGCCACCTCACCTGGCAGCTCTGCACCGTCGCCCTCGAGGCGCGCCAGGCGGAGAAGACCGACCTCGCTGCGATCATTGCTGTCTCGGAGCGAAGACGGACGTTCCTCGACAAGCTCGAGGAGTACGCCGTTGGCAACGAGACGAACGCGTGCGAAGGCGTCAAGCAGGTCGTGCGTACGATGTTGCTCGGTACAATCGTCTGCAGTACTGACCTTTCCCTCTCCCACAGTCGCTCGCCTTCACCCTCGACATTTACACGATGACTCGCCAGCTCACGTCGGCCGATGCGGATCCGAACGGCCTCCTCTCTGAGCTCAAGCTTGCCCCAAGCGACGAGCTGCAAGCACGTTGCGCGGGCTACATCGAGGCGCAGATTGAGCGATATGCTGAGGCTCTCGCCGATGAGCGTGACGAGGACAAGGACGAGACGCAGCGTGAGCCGGACTCGGATGAGGACGCCAGCGGTAGCGACACGGAGACGGAGGAGCGAAGCCAGTCGCAGCGAGGGAAGAAGGGGAAGGGGAAGAAGGCAGCAGCGAAGAAGGGCAAGAAGGCGGCGCCGAAGAAGCAGGACAAGCGGCGGCGGAAGACTGCGGCGCAAATTCGAGGTGCGTCTCAAACCTCGCACACCCTTGTACCGGTTCTGACGGTTCTCGCTTCTATGCAGCCGACAACGCGAAGGAGCAGGCTCAGCTCGTCGCTGCCAAGCGCTTCGAGCAGGTTCTCGCCCCATTCATCCGCGTCCTCCACAGCAGCACGTTCGACCTGCGCCACTACGTCGTCCTGGTCAAGCATTGGGGACGCCTCGGCGCAGCGTTCGACGAGAACGTCAAGCTCCTTCTGCACGACCTCCGCGACGAAGGCAACTACGGCTCGGCCAGCGATGTCGTTGCCGCCGTCGTCGTCGACTCGCTCAAGGGCTCCTGCGAGCTCTACATCGACGCGCCCGATTCGCCATCCGTCACCGACGAGCCGCTCATCTCTCTCGGTCGACACTTGCAGGGCGTCGTCATCGTTCGCGGCGCTCACCTCGCCATAGTCGACCAGCTGCCGTCCGAAGACCACCTTCGCATCCACCTCGACGCGCTGAAGTGGATCGTGACCAAGCTTGCCCAGTTCGAGGACGCGAAGCGGAAGGACGATCGCAACCGCGCTCTCTCGTTCTTCAAGGCGCTCGCACACCTGCTCATGGGCATCGACGGCAGGAGCGCACTCAAGGCGTGCGTCACATTCTTCGTTCCCTTCGCTTGCTTCTGTTCGCGAGATTGACTTGGCTGCGCCCGCTTGCAGCAAGACGACGCTCGACTCGCTGCTGGACGAGCGCGAGATCGAAGTTCCGCCAACGTCCAAGACCTGGGAGCCTGTGCGCGCGTACCAGAAGCGTCTGATCACGGTCATGTCGAAAGACCCTTGTACGCTTTGCCACAATCCCGTTGCGCTCAAGGCGACTGACACACCTATCGTTTCGCAGCTATCCAAAAGGCCGCGACAAGCGAGAAGGCGAAGAAGGTGCGCGCGAAGGGCAAGGCGAAGGCCACGGAGCCTGAGGAGGACGAAGAGGTCGAGGAGGAGCAAGAGGAGGAGGACCAGCTCGGCACGCAGCTTTCACGCTGGTCGACTCGCCCCAAGCGTGCTGCGCCGCCCACCAAGATCAGCCAGGAGCTTTACTCGCCGAGCAAACGTCCTCGAACGGCGAGTCCAGGGGGCGATGAGGCAGAAGCAGAGGTCGAGGAGGACGCGCTGGACACGCTCCTCAGGGAGGACTCGCCGTCGCAGGTCTCGCAGGGCAAGAAGCGGGCGCGCGAGCAGGACGACGACGAGGCGGACGAGCAAGAGCAGGAGCCGCTGCGCGCAACGCCGATGGCGGAAGACGCCTTCGAGCTGGGTGACCTCCCCGAGACGGAGACACAACCCGACTACTCGACGGGTCCTCGCGGTGGCAGCGGCGGCGAGCGACCTGGCTTCGAACGGGAAGCGTCGATTGTGTCGGACATCAGCCTGTCGGACGTGCCGAGGAAAAGGGTGAGGCGTTGAAGCGGTCCGAGTCGGTCGAAGCTCTCATTTGTATCTCGCTTTTGTCCTGTCATCGTCTGTAGTGGGTTCTAGGTTGTCAACATGTGTCGTTCAATCACTCTGGTCCTCGCGAAAGCTTCTACAGCCTGCCCTCGACAGCTTCGCTCGCATCAACCCACTTCCACCCATCGAACCAGCCCTGCGGGATCTGCACCTCGCCGCCTCCGCCAGCAGCGCCGAGATCGAGTCCTTCTGGAACTGGCTGCTCGACACGCGCAACCCGCCCTTCCTCCCGCAGCTTCTCGAGGTGGAGGAGCAGGCCGTGCGTTGCTGCGAGCTTGAGCGACGAAGGGATCGTGTCGGCGTAGATCAAATCGGTGAGCCTGCAACGCGCGGAGAAGGTCAGCACGAGGAGGCGAAGATGATAGTGCGCGTGACGCACTCGCCCGCCGTCACCGCTTCTCCTCCCTCGACTGCCTTCAGCGCTTCGACAACCTGCTTCTCCCGGTCTTCTCGGTGCGTCTTGTACTCCTTGATCTTGGCCAGACCGTCCTGCACGACTTCGCCGTGTCCTGGGTAGAGCGGGATGGGTGCAGAGCAAGTGGGAGAGAGAAGGTCGATGAGGGAGGCGAGGCTTGAGAGGTAGGCGGAGAGCGAGGCAAAAACGGCGGTGCCGTGGCCGAGGACGGTGTCGGCGGTGAAGAGGCCGAGTGGGGAAGCGGAGGACGAGGAGGAGGAGGAAACGCCTTCGCGCAGAAGGACACAGATCGAATCGCTCGTGTGTCCCGGCGTATGGACGACTTCAAGCTCAACGCTGTCTTCCGTACCGCTCGCAGCGGGTGAGGCGCCGGAGGGAGCGAGGGAGAATCGCTGTCCCGCCCGCAGCGGGTGCACCGCAGTACCGTCGCTCGCGCGCGCCAGCTCGTTTCCACCGAGCCCTTCCAGGTCCCGCTCCAGCTCTGCATCTTTCGTCCGTTCGCTCTTCCATGCGTCGGAGCTTCCGCCTTCGCCCGTTGCGCAGGGGAACTTCCACACCCGAACCTTCGCCTTCTCCGAACCATCCAGCTCCGCCAGCATCCTCACCACGTGCCCTACAGCAGCAGTGTGGTCCCGGTGCCAGTGCGTTAGGATGATGTCGGTTATGCGAGCTGGTTGTGTTGGGTGAGATGCGATTGCTGAGCGAAGGGAGGAGAGGTAGGTCTGGAGGGATGAGGGCGAGAGCGGTGAAGCTGAGGAGGGGCCGGTGGTGTCGAGTAGGAGGAGAGAAGGCGACGCGGGGTGCTGTGGGCAGATATTGTGCGGGTAAGAAGGTCGGAAGCGCGCGAAAGAAAGGCAAAGAGCGAAGGAGGTCAGCTCCGTCTCCTTCAGCTAATATCCACCGACACTCACATGAACAAGGTACGTATTCGTGCCTTGCAGCGTGAACTTGCCGGGGTTCTGCGCGTGAACGGACGGGCGTGAGTAGGCCATCCAGGTCGGCATGGCGCTCTCAGCTTCTCCCATCATCGGCTCTCGCTCACCTGTCCGAGCACCCTAGTCACATACTTCGAGAGCTGCAGAGAAGAGGGAGGTCAGCGAGTTATACGATGTGAACGCCATTTCTGAGAGACCGGACGCACTGTCGAGACGGCGGGCAATTCAGGAAGAGATGCCATTCGTTCGGTTGTCGATGACGGTCGCTCAGAGTCTTGCTCAGAAGGCTTCTACGTCGACCGGAAAGCCCAGCGCAGCAGGCAGATGCGCTGAAAGCCGGATTGCGCGATGAAGTGGGGAGGGGAGAGAGGTCGGCGACGAGAGGACGGGGACCTAGCAGCGCTCGTGAGGTGGAAGTGTGAGGTCCTCAAAGCCGCCTGCGAGACTCGATACGCCGACCGAAGCGACAGCAGCGAGACGTAGAGGCCGCAGGAGGTCCGCGAGACGGTTGCCCTCGTTGATAGCTGCTCGCATCGCTGGATCGGCTTGCGACTGGTCCAGATCTTGCTTTTTTACCCTTTCCTCAGCATCTCAGAACCGCTCGAACGCCCACGTCGCGCCAACGCGACTCCAGCAACTTCATCTCTCGAACTCTTCCTCACCACTATTCGGACGACAGGGCTCGGACGAAGGTGCACGCAGCCTGTGTAGGGTGTGTTGAGTCACTCTCAAGTGATTTGCGAAGTGTACTGCGCTCCAGCGGCCCAAAGGACCCGTTCCGAGGTCCCTTGGCGGTTGTCCTCTCGCACAAAGACTGACCATCTCGTTGGCCTGCCACACAGCTCGACATGCAGTCTACACACACTGCCCTTGAGTCGGCGGTGAAAGCTGCGCCCCGCCGTCGAGTTCGTCGCGCCATCGACCCATCTGCCGCCATCCTTCCTCCCTCTCGCGACCTGATCGGCCCGCCATGCCCCCTCTCGAACCTCCGACCAGTCTACTATGCCCCTCTCTTCCCCTCCCTGCACTCGCCGTCCGGCTGGTCAACCGCAATGACCGCCCCTTCCTCCTCATCGCCCGCAATTCCATCACGACCACACCCTTACTCTCTCGCCGAATTCCCCTCTTCCGCCTCATCTTCCCATTCGAACCCACGACAAGCCCGCCTGCACGCCGTCGCCCGCTCGCTCCACGCGAAAGACCTCGAATGGCGCTTAACACGGTATCGCTTTGACTCGTTCAACCAGGACTTCTGGGCGCGGATGAACACGTTGTTCCTCCGAGCTAGGGACGAGTATATCGTGCGTATGGAGCGGGAAAGGGCGGGACTTGCGGCGGTTAGGGCGGCGAAGGAGGGAGACGTTGATGCGGAGTCGTTTCCGCCGCAGGTCAGCGCGGCTGTCGCGGGAACGGGGACAGAGGACGTCGATCTGGCGCCCTTCTATGCGGAGTATCTCGGCAAGACCAAGAGGGCGTACGCGGAATACAACAAGCAGTTGTGGAGGATGCAGATCGAGATGCTGTGGCCGGCGGTCAAGGCGAGTGCGAGGCGGTGGCGATGGAAGTGGGAGGTGTGGCGAGCAGGAGGGGAGAAGCTGTAGCATCCAATGACGCGACCTATTTAACAGGCAGACGTTGAGAACAACAGGGACTGCGTTGCGATGCGATGCGAGAGACAGACGAGGTTAGAGCTACAAGGAGAAAGTGCGAATACTAGGCGGTCCTGCCGCGCTGGTCGGCCGTAGACAAGCACTGCTGAACGACGGAGAGCAGATGGTTGTTCTCGAGCGCGGCTGCGGGGGAGAGCTGCGTCAATCGAGGCGCTCGTTGTGGGAAAGGATTCCTGCGTACCGGCTACTCGCTCCTTGTCGTTCAGCTGCTTGTTGACTGTGCGATCGGGCCAGACAGAAGAAGCGTCAGCCTTTCTCGGACGGAGGGACGCCTCGCAGACACCGGACGCACCTGCATTCTCGCTCTGATGGGTTCCCTCCTTCACCTTGATGTCCACCTTGAACCTCTCCGGCAGGCTCCGCAGCAACCGCACGCGAAGCGAGAGGCCTGCAAGACCAGCAAGCGTCAGCGACATGGTTCTCCTGCCGCAAGAAGCGAGGGCAAGGTCCGGCTCACCGATCAAAGTCGCCATCGAGCAGTGAGGGATGGTAGGCGTGAATTCGACGAGTACGGAGGGTCGCTTGCCGTGATTGACGGTGATTTGTTCGGAAGAGACGACGGCGAGTTGTTCGAGGGTGAGAGGGTGTTCGGGATCAGAAATGGAGCGGATGAGGTCTGCGACCAAGAAGATGGCGTGTCAGACTCGTCACCTCAGGGGAAGACAGCCTATCGGTCCGTGTCCCGCTCCCGCTGACCTCAGCCACCATGCGAGGAGGACGAGGCGGAACGCACCAAAGATCTCCTCTGAATCGATCTGTTCCTCATCCGCCGAGCTCTCAGACCCTGCACTGTCCCATTCTGACCCGTACACGAGCTCGTCCTCGAGCCTGTCCCACGCGTCGGCGTCGGCGAGGTCGAGGTTGATGAGGCGGGTGCGGCGAGACGCGGACGCTCCTCCGGTCGAGTGGATGGTCGGGTTGGCGTTGTCTGGAGTTGCGCTGGTCATCGTGACCTAGGAAGCAGTCTGAAACGAGGATGAGCGGGATGTGGTCGGTTGTCAACCTCGTCCCGCTGGTTGACCTTCGACCTGTCACTCGCTGCTCGCCTCGCTGCCGCTAGGATGCGCTGGAGTGTGCTCTGCTGGACTCTCCGATGACACAGGATGACGTGCTGGTCTATCGCTTCCTCCCCCGAGGCGGTCCCTCGACTCTCTCGCCCGCTGAACTCGCTCAACGAACGGCGGCACTCTCGAAGCTGGTGAATCCGCAGGTCCGCACGAGTCGGAGTGCGAGTGGTTGGCAACGGCACGAGCCCGTGGGGCAGCTACGTGCGTTCGAATTCGTTGCCCGCTCGAAGCGCTGAAGCTGACCTTGGGAGTCTGTAGCTTCGACCAGGACCTACGAAGCGACTCTGCCGTCCAAGCTGTCCCCTCGTGCTGTCTCGACGAACGACGTGCCGGCGCGCAGGGAACGTCAACTCGTCGACCGCACCGTCGAACCCTTCTCGCACGGGCAACCTCCTCCCCGCCGCCAGTCTCCCTCGCCAGCGCTGGCCGCCCAACCTTCCGATCAGCCTACACAGGGCATCCTGCGACGACGCGAGACAACCGGTGTCGTTGGTGGATGGGCGCCTTCGCTGTCGAGCGCTGGGCGGGAGAAGAAGAAAGTACGGGTTGAATCGCCTCGAACGAGCGGGGCGCGGGTCGCAGAGGAGGAGAAGAGGCGTGTTGATAAGGGAAAGGGGAAGGCGAGCGATGTGGGTGCGAAGGAGCTTGTGCCGGCAACACCGGTCAAGCGCGAGGAGGAGAAGACGGCGAGGGGAGACAACCTCGACCTTGCGGACGGTGCGATCAAGCGGTGCATTCCATACGTGCGTGAATTTTTGCGCTCAATCTTTGATCTCTACTGACACGACTCGTCTTCGCAGCCTTACTGCCACAATCCGTCCACCTCGGTCGCCGTCAACATGAATCACGCTCGGCAACACCCGTCTCGCATCCTCCACTCTTTCGTCGATCCGTCCCTTGATCCGCTCGCCTCGAATCTCACCGCCGCAACCGGTGCAGCGACGAACGGCGCGACTCAGTCGCAGTACACGCTGGCTTCGCAACTCCCGCTCGACTCGCCCCTCACCATGTCGTACCTTCAGCCCGGGCGACGAGGAGCGTGGCTCATACCCGTCTCCGCGCCCTTGCCCATCCTACACACCTCGCCCGTCCGATGGTTCGCTCAGCCTCCTCCTCCTCCATCCTCTCCTGCGCCAATTCCGGCCGAACGCTCGATCGACTGGACCGACGCACGACTCCGCACACTGTGGTCGTTTCTGACTTCGCTTCACGAGTCAGGCTCGTTCGGCCGACTTTGAGCAGTCGCCTGGTTCCCGCCTTCGTCGTCTGCCTCCGCCTGGCCAGAGATGATCCGCCTCAACTGCGACGCTCATCTCGCACTCGCCATCCGAGGCTTGCTCGCGCAGGCGAACGTCAGGACGCTACGAGGAGTCGTAGGCACAGGAGGAGGAGCGAAAAGGCGGAGGGAGAAGGAGGAGGAGGAGAAGGACGACGGACACCGCGGCAGTGTACGAAGCAGGGGAATCACAACGGGGAGGCCGCGGGTCAGATATTAGGGCTGGGTGGGTGGGAGACGCGTATGTGCGAGCTCAACGAAGCAGCGCCGAGTTGCGAGCGAGTCGAGTGAATAATGGTCGAGGACGAGTCGAGGAGAGAGAGAGGCGCGCGAAGTCTTCAACTCACACACGCGGCCTTGGAAGGACGACCACAGCCATATGAAAGCATAGCAGAGCGATCCTGAACGTCACTACCCTTCGCGCCAACCCAGCGCGGCAACTCACGCTTTCCCCTCCTCCTCCTCCGCTGTCTCCCTCGTCCGCCATCGCTCATGAACACGCCCCCTCCCAATCTCGTGCTCGTGCCCTTTACGCTCCGTCACGTCACAGCGCCGTTCAAAGCGACGCCCTTCCCCGCCGGCGCAACTGCGGACGAAGCAGCCGCTCATCTCTCGGCGGATCCACACTTTCTCCCGGCTATTCGCACGGCGTACGGACTGGAGGAGGAAGACCTCACTCTCCGGGCGCAGAGAAACCCGGCGGTGCCGTGGGGAAGCGGCGCGTGGACAGCTGAGGGGGACTTGCACGGTCCGGTTACCCTGGCGAGTCAGCCGGTGCGTCTGACTCTCGTAGCAGCGCGTGCTCGGTAGCTAACGTATACTTCCGCTGCAGAAACTCCCCCAGCTCCCCCTGCCCGACCCCGTGAGGCGCTACCTCGAATCGCTCGAACAGCAGATCAAGTCCCTCCAGTCGGCCAACGCGGCGAAGGACGAACAAGTGGCTATTCTCCTCAACGAGCTGCAGGACCTAAAGGCCAAGCTCTCCGCGCTCGAGGAAGACAAAGCGGTCGCCTTGCTGCTCGAAGCGCATCGCAAGGCTTTGAAAGGTGCGCCGTCCGCTCCGTCCGTTATTCGACGGTTCTGCTGACTCTGGTGCTCCTTGCTGAATGCTGCAGGTCTTGGAGTCGCCGCTGTGGAGAAGGGCATTGATCTGAACCTCGAAGAAGCAGAGGAGGTCGCTGTGGGTTGGAGACTGCTCGAGCAGGGTGCGTCAAGCTCTTAGATCTGGACAGCTTAATACTGACTCGCTCTTTCGTGTAACTACAGGGCGAGGAGGGTTCTTGGAGGCGACGCGGAAGCTGCTCACCAAGCCACCTGAGCTCTTTTGGCACTCGCTCTCGAAGGACCTCCGCGAGAAGGTCAGGTCGGGCCTCGTCAACCTCAAGAACCGCGACGGACCCAGCGCTCCTTACATCCGCATCCTCAACAAAATCATGAACGACCCGGGCGTGCGAGACCTCCGCAACACGCGCAACGAGCTCGTCCATGAGGGTGCCCTCGACGACGAGGTCAAGACCGTGCTCCTCACCTTTGCCGAAGGACGTCTCTCGGACGACGATGCGAAGCACATTATTCAGTTGGCCAACAGTGCATTCACTTTCTCTTTGGTCATGGCGAGGGAAATCTGGCTGACACTCTCCCGTGTCTCGCGCCCTTCAGACGTTTATGTGCCGTCAGGTGCACCGCCGCCCGAGATCGATTTGTTCAAGCTGTAGTGCGTGTTCAATCCACACTCTGCGATCCCCCTACAAGACTTGCAAACCTCGATCACCGCTGATGCTGACAGACTCCTCGCAGATCCTGCTCTGCCTCATCCTCGCTCCTGTACATGTTGTTGTGGCTGCTGCCTTTCTTACTCGCTTTGCTGTTGTTCTACTCGCCCTCGTTGCAGTTTCACCTACGTCTCCCCTCCTCTTTCCTCAGGACGCGATGAGGCGAAACGCACCAAAGATCTCCTCTGAATCGATCTGTTCCTCATCCGCCGAGCTCTCAGACCCTGCACTGTCCCATTCTGACCCGTACACGAGCTCGTCCTCGAGCCTGTCCCACGCGTCGGCGTCGGCGAGGTCGAGGTTGATGAGGCGGGTGCGGCGAGACGCGGACGCTCCTCCGGTCGAGTGGATGGTCGGGTTGGCGTTGTCTGGAGTTGCGCTGGTCATCGTGACCTAGGAAGCAGTCTGAAACGAGGATGAGCGGGATGTGGTCGGTTGTCAACCTCGTCCCGCTGGTTGACCTTCGACCTGTCACTCGCTGCTCGCCTCGCTGCTGCTAGGATGCGCTCGAGTGTGCTCTGCTGGACTCTCCGATGACACAGGATGACGTGCTGGTCTATCGCTTCCTCCCCCAAGGCGGTCCCTCGACTCTCTCGCCCGCTGAACTCGCTCAACGAACGGCGGCACTCTCGAAGCTGGTGAATCCGCAGGTCCGCACGAGTCGGAGTTCGAGCGCTTGGCAACGAGACGAGCCTGTACGGCAGCTGCGTGCGTCTCAAATCGTCGCCCGCTCGAAGCGCTGAAGCTGACCTTGGAACTTTACAGCCGCAACCAGGACCTACGAAGCCACCTTGCCCTCCAAGCTTTCTCCTCGTTCCGTCTCGACGAACGACGTGCCGGCGCGGAGAAAGCGTCAACTCGTCGACCGCACCCTCGAACCCTTCTCGCACTGGCAACCTCCTCCTCCCCGCCAGTCTCCCTCACCAGCACCAGCCGCTCAGCCTTCTGATCAACCAACACAAGGCATCTTGCGACGGCGCGAGACGACCGGTGTCGTTGGTGGATGGGCGCCTTCGTTGTCGAGCGCTGGGCGGGAGAAGAAGAAAGTACGGGTCGAGTCGCCTCGAACAAGCGGCGAGAGAGTTGCGGAGGAGGAGAAGAGGCATATTAACAAGGGGAAGGGAAAGGCAAATGAGGCAGGTGCGAAGGAGCTCGGTCCGCTGACGCCGGTCGGACGCGAGGAGGAGAAGACGGCGACGGGAGACAACCTCGACCTTGCGGACGGTGCGATCAAGCGGTGCATTCCATACGTGCGTACTATCCAGATCTTCTACCTTCGACCTCCTCTGACATGGACTTGCCTTCGCAGCCTTACTGCCACAACCCGTCCACCTCGATTGCCGTCAACATGAACCCCGCTCGGCAGCACCCTTCCCGAATCCTCTACTCCTTCGTCGATCCAGCCGTCGACACGCTCGCCTCTACTCTCGCCGCAGCGAACGGTGCAGCGACGAACGGTGCGACCCAATCGCAGTATACGCTCGCCTCGCAACTCCCGCTCGACTCGCCTGTCACCATGTCGTACCTCCAGCCCGGTCGTCGAGGAGCGTGGCTCATACCCGTCTCCGCGCCCTTGCCCATCCCACACACCTCGCCCGTCCGATGGTTCGCCCAGCGGCCTCCCCCGCCTCCCTCTCCTTCGCCAACTTCGGCCGAACGCTCCATCGATTGGACCGACGCCCGACTTCGCACACTATGGGCATTCATGACTTCGCTGCACGAGGCAGGCTCGTTCGGCCGCGTCCGAGCCGTCGCTTGGTTCCCTCCTTCGTCGTCCGCCTCGTCCGCCTCCGCCTGGCCAGAGATGATCCGCCTCAATTGCGACGCACACCTCGCACTCGCCATACGAGGCTTATTGGCTCAGGCGAATGTCAAGACGTTACGAGGTGTCGTCGGCTCCGGAGGAGAAGGGAAGAAGCGGAGGAAGGAGGAGGAGGACAGCGAAAAGTGGTTGAGGGGTAGGGCGCTCGTCTGGGTCGACGAGGAGGGGAAGGCGGTGTTGACGGCGTAGGAGAGGTAGAAAGAGTTGTACAGGAGGAGACGGAGATGCGGTTCGTTCCTTGTATTTCCGTTGCAGATGTTGTTGCCATTCCCACCTGTTCCGGCGGCTTCGGTGGTCGCACTACCCGACGGATCTGAGCTCATTTTGCATCGTCTGGCAAGTATCTGAGCGTCCGCTGTCGAGGCGAACTTCTCCCCTTTCTCATCGCTCCGCTTCTTCGTCTCGACCGCAACGGACTCATCCCACCGCTGGGCTTCGCCTGCATTCTATCGCTGTCTATCGAGTCCCTCCAGCTCTGTCTGAGCGCCCGCGCGGGCAGTGTGTCTTCTGCGACCGTTGTCGCCTCCCCAATAAGCCGTCCCCGACCAAGTCATCCTTGACAAGCACACTCCCTGCCTGCCTGCCTCGGCTGTGCTTGATCACTTTCCCAGTACTCCACACCCGCCCTTTTGCGCGGCTTCTGCCTCTGCTCTCCGCTCTACTCGTTAAACTCGACGAGATGCACGTCGACCACACCGAAACGACCCCTCTGCGTGCGCGCTTGCAGTCTACGACGGACCTCCCAGTAGAGGAGTCGGTGCGAGAGCCTCTGGACAAGCTTGCGAACCGGATCTACTCGCTCGAGTCGGAAGTCGGACGGTTACAGGCGAACGAGGCGATCTTGCTGCAGGAACTGCGGAACGCACAGGCGGGACTGGAGAAGCTGGAGGCAGATCAGGCTCGGAGACTCCAGGCTGACCATCTTGAAGGAGTGTCGTGGCTCAACTACGGCCAGCCGGGGACGGAGCTTGGCCAACTCGACGAGTGGAACGGCAGAGGAGAGGAAGAGGGTGCTTCGAAGTGCCAGGAGGCGTTGAAGAAGGCAACGGAGCTGGCCGAAGAAATCGCGGCGGGAGTGGCGGAGATGCGGGCCGCGGAGGACGACTGGAAGCACATGGACGCCTGCCGCCTCGCTCTTCAAGGTGCGCCAGAGTATCCTGCCGGGGCCACGTCTCTACGCTCGGGGAGCGCAGCATTGACCACGCTGGGTCGCAGGTCTCGTATTTTACGCCTTGTGGACAGCCTCGGGCACAACGACCGACACCCTGACCAAGGCGAACCTTCGCACGATGAACTCGCATTGGTGGTTCGTCGAGTGCGGTGAGTCCCTGCGTTCTCCCACGGTTTTTTTGACGGCGAGCTGATGTCCGTCGTTTCGGTCGGCGCAGTCTACGGCTGGGAAGACCTGTCCAAGGCGCTCCCGCCAACTCACGCTCCTTGGGTTCCCTTCTACCGCTTCATCGGGCCCACTCTTACCGCGAAGATTCATTGTGCCCTCGACATCATCGCGCACGAGCTATGCGACCGCGCTGTCGCCGCTTACCACGCCGCGGAACAAGTCTCGAAGGCGGGAGGTGCGAAGATCCGGCGTCTGGCGTACAACGGCATCAAAATCGGCCTTCCACAGAAGGACAGCGTGCGCACGGTCCTCAAGCAGTTCGCGGACGAGCAAGACGTCGAGGCGGTCCTCGAGTTGCTGCCGAAGTGTGAGTATTCCTCCTCTTCCTCTTCTCTCCTCTACTGACCTCGTCTTCCTGTCGCTCCGCACAGCCTACTTCTCCGGCGAGTACATGACTGACGAGGAGATGATGGCGGAGCTGCGCGACGGCCTTCACCGCCCACCTACAGGAGACGACCCATCGCTACTCTCTTCGCAACCCTCCTCCTCGGCCACGGTCATCGCTCGAGCTTCTGCCTGCAAGATACCAGAGACACAGACTTTTGCCGTTGCGTTCGAAGCCGAGCGCTCCCTTCTCCTACCTCCAGCCCGCTGCCGCTCGGCGCCCGCGGTTCTAGTCCACGACCAAGTCGACTACTTGCGCGTGCGTGGGCAGCTTGCGAAGGACCGCAACGACATCTTCGGTGGGGACAGCGTTCTGCGACAGGCGAAAGAGGGCAGGCGCGAGATCGCGAGCGCGGTGAGTTCAACAGTCGTTGGACGGCCTCTCCATTCGCAGCTCTGGACGGCCCGCCATGCTAACGACGTGACGTTGGTGGGCTGCCAGATCCGTCGCTCCGACGAACCCCCTCCTCCGACTTCCGAGCGAATCGACACGACCGACAACGTCCCGCAGAAGCGCGAAATCAGTCTCTCCGACATCGACAACGTGATCGAGGCCTGCGAACGTTTGAGGGCAGAGAGTGCAGGGGAAGTGGCCCAGATGCAGGCGGAGGACCTCGAGATGGAGTGACTGGACGCCTGCCTAGTCGGTCTCCAAGGTGCAACTCGTTCCGCCTCTTGCAACTGAGGAGTCACTGGACGGAAGTGATGTTGACTTTACTCTTCTGCAGGTCTCGTACTCTACGCGTTGCAGACAGCCTCGAGGACGGCGGGCAATGCTCTGTCCAGACCAGAGCTTTGGGCGTTGAGTTCGAACTGGTGGCTCGTTGAAGGCGGTGAGCCATGCAAACCTCGGTAGCCTTCGGATAAAGCGCTTACGTTTGTTCTCACGGTCCTTGCAGGTTACGGCTGGGAAGACTTCGACAAGGCGCTTCCCCTCACGACGGACGACGCATCAGTCGCCTTCTATCGGTTCATCGGTCCTGTCTTGACCAAGAAGGTCTACGATGCTCTTGTCATCATCGCTCGCCAGCAGTGTGGTCCCGCCGTCGCGGCCTTTCAAGCCGCCAAACGCCTTTCGATGGCGGAAGGCCCGAAGGTCGAGTACCAGGTGCACAGCGGCGTCGAGCTCGGCGAACCGAGGCGAGAGAGCGTGCAGGAGGTCCTCAAGCAGGTTGCGGATGATGACCTCATCAAGGCAGTCCTCGAGCTGCTGCCGAAATGTGAGCCTTTCCTCCTCTGCCTCTCCCTTCCTCTGCTGATCTCGTCTCGGCCGCCATTCCGCAGCGTTTTTCTCCGGCGAGCCCATGACCGGCGAGGAGATCTTGGCGGAGTTGCGCGAGAGCCTTGAGGCGACGGGTGACTTGGTCCGTTGGTCGTCGCTTTCGCCCCTCGAGCGTCTCATGGGGACCTGAGCGCTCACCTTAATTCTAATGATCTCCAGGACCCTTCGACTTGACGATATGCGCCCCGCCAAGTCCTCGCCATCTCGCGCGCCTCATCCTCTGGACGCAGGCAATCTCAAGAACCTTGGCGGACTTCCTGGTTTGTTGTAGCATTCCCAACGTGTATTCGCTAGCGCTTCCTCATCATCTGCGTGTCCGATAACGCGGGAATCGCATGCCTCGCGCTCGACGACTGGTTGCGGCTGGCCTCTTCGCTCCTTCCCCTTCACCGCTCGCTGCTTCGACTTCATTCTGCTTGCGTGAAGGCTCCAGACGGTGCTACGAGTGTGTTTCATCGCTTTACCGGCCCCGCTCGACCAGCCAAACCCCCGTCGCCGTCCCGCCCCTCCTCATCGCTCTCCGCCAACCCCGGTCTCAACCTCCGCAAGCTCGCGGCGATGGCCAGCGACAAGCCTGCAGATTTCGCAAAGGCGACTGAAACGGTGATAGACGAGCCCTCGGCGCTGCTCACGGAGGAGGGAGAGCTGTCGGACAAGGTGCGCTTCCCTCTCGCATCTCGCGAACCCCTTCGACAGCTCATGTCGCTCTTTCCGGGTCTTCGCAGCTTTACGACATCCTCCACGAGGTCTTTCTGCAGTTCGCCAAGCTGCCCGAGACGGAGTCAGCGGCAAAGCTGAAGGACGAGAAGGAGAAGGTCAAGCTCGCAACGCTCGGGAGGGAGGAGATCAACGCCTTTTCTCGAGCGACGAACGGAAAAGGTGCGTATATCTGCAGGCCACGAGGGCGACCGCTAGCTGACGAGTGACCCCGCCAGACCTGCCGGACGAGCAATGGACCGAGATTGTCGAGTACTTGGACGTGAACGACGCGGGCGAGCTCACCTTCAAGGGCTTCACCGAGCTCTACTCGTTGCAGACAGGTACGTCGAACTTGCTGGAGGGATCAGCATCTCGGACTGACCTCCCGCTTCGCTTTGGGCAGAAAACGACGAGGCAGAGACAGTCAAGGATCTCAAGGCGTGGGGCTACGACCCGCAGACGCTCGAGCGGGTGAAGAAGGAGGGAAAGGCGCAGGAGGAGGCGAAGAAGGCGGAGGAGTCGGACAAGGAGGACGACAAGGACGGAGAGTCGGCGTAGAAAGGCGATCGCCTCGCCTCGTTATACCTGCATCGCCTGTATACCCGCACTCTCATGCACTCATGCACTCGTCCAGCAACCTCCCAGGCTTGCTCGAGGATGTCACGTCAGTTTCTCCTCGTCGGCGGACCCCTGGCGAACGTCTCGCTTGCACCTCACACCTCACATCGCTGGATATGGCTGCTGCTCGGGCTGGACTGTCGACTCGTTCGGCGGGAGTGCGCAGGCTGCTGCAGGAGGCCAAGGAGCTCGAGAAGGACGACTGCCCGGACTTCGCAGCTGCACCGCTCGAGGACGACCTGTTCTCGTGGCACTTCACGATCCGCGGGCCCGGCGGGGACTACGAGGGTGAGTCGGCGAGTTCTTCACGGCGAACAGCGCATCAGCAGGCTGGGAGGGCTGTGAGGTGTCGACGGACCCGTCCCCCGCCGCCACGCTCTCGGCTCGGGGAGGTGTTGCGAAGCATTCAGGGCTTGCTGACGCCGTTCGTGGCCTACAGGCGGAGTGTACCATGGCAAGATGATCGTGAGGCGTCCCGGCAACGCTTCCGCTCGATTCGGGACGTCGAACTGACCCTTCTCTCGGTGTTCTTCCCCAACCTCGCTTCCGCCAACGCAGCTGCCGTCTGAATACCCCTTCAAGCCGCCCGAGATCTACATGCTCACGCCGTCCGGCCGCTTCGAGGTTAACAAGAAGATCTGCCTGTCCATCTCGAGTTTCCACCCGTGTGTCTGCCGTTCTTGCGTTGCTCGACGCCTTGCGCACCTTTGCGCCCTTGTGCTGACCAGATTACCGCTGTAAACATGCAGTGAGACGTGGCAGCCATCCTGGGGCGTGCGGACGGCGTTGCTGGCTCTCATGGCGTTCTTCGACACGGAGGTTCGTCCTGCGCTCCTCTCTCTCCTCTTCACGTGCTGACAGTTCACGCTACGTTTCTCGCGCTACACAGCCCAAAGGCGCAGTCGGATCGCTCGACGCGCCTCCAGCCGAGCGCCAGCGCCTCGCGAAAGCATCCCGATCGTACCAGTGCACGACGTGCGGCTTCGATGCAGGCGACTCGACCGCGTTCGCGTCCTTGCGCGCACCTCAGGAGGGGCAGCAGGCGAACGAGGTGGGTGAAGCAGCGGCGCATGATGCGGACAAGCAGGCGGACGTGAAGGTCGTTGCGGCGGAAGAGACGAGGGGAACTGCCCCAAAGTCTGCTTTCGCAGGTAGTGTTGGCGGCTCTGACGAGGAGGACGAGGCAGAAGGAACTGCAGAAGACACGCCCGCCGACTCGACCTCCTCGACAACCATCTTCGCAACTTCGCCGCCCTCCTCCGTCGTCCGATCGCCCTCCGGCGCTCGCGCTCCATACGGCAGGCACCATCAGCCTACCTCTCCCGGACACCCACCCCCAGCACACCGCCATCCCGACACCTCCGCCTCGACCCCTTCGCTCGCCGGCCCCCTCGTTCCGCCTGGTGCGCCGCGACTTTCGCCTGCTCATCTTCCTCCACGCCCTTCGTACGCCCCTGCGACTGCTCCTCCCCTTCGCTCGCCGCCGACTTCGCCAGCCGCGACGTCCCCTTCGCATCCCTCGCCTTCCGCCTCTTCCGCCTCTTCCGCCTCGAATGCTCCCGTCTCTCCTGCACCACCCGCACTTCCCGCCCTCCCGCCCGGCGTCACGCTCGCACAAGCATCGGTCGGAGGGATCGGCGGGGC